TGATTCTGTCTTCCACCCACATAAAACTTCTAAGACTCTCAATCTGCTTGGAAAACGCTAGTACAGCTGTATGAAAAAGGTAAGAGGCAGGTTGAAGAGCTAACAATAGCAAATAACAGTACCAGCAAGAGAATAATTTTCCTTCTTTCCTATTTACTCCAGCTGGCGAAGTAGCTACAGAAAAATGCAAGAACAGACCAATAAGAATTAAATGTGTGTATTATGTGAGGAGATCAGTGTAGTCACCTCAGTCAATTTTTCAGTGGGAACTCAACCTGAACATGTTACCTCGCAAAATTAATTCATCTTGCATTTGGTGCAGAAATTGAGGGCAACATCTCCTTAATCTAATGGGAATAAGGTAAAAAGGTGTAGTTTGTACCATGACAAATAGCAGTCTAGATTTTGCCTCTAAGTCTGGATGCTGCAAGTGATTTGATGTCTGACAGGCTGAAATGGTACAAGTTGAAACGTAGTCAGCTTCTTTCAGTGTGGCTTAGTAATTGCCAGGGACAGAGCTCTGTTCCTGTCCATTCAGCCATTTCCTACCCCATTATCTGGTAGGCAAGTGAATATGGAGATTTTCCTCTTTATCCAAAAGATGTTATATTTATCGTATTTTATGTATGTATATATATATAAATACTTTGGTATATTAGAGTTACTCCTTTTGTGCATTTGTTACAAAGGAACATCCCTCTCTCCGACAGTTTCAGCAGTGATGAGGGCTTGAAAAGAAATGAGGAAAGAGGAGAAGTTTTTCCCATTCTCCTTGCACTCCAATGAAAGGTGGCAGTGCTTTTATTTCTCCTTCAATGGGGCAAGCAACCATAATCTATCTTTAGAATGAAGCCACAGTGGAAGAGGAATTGAAGAGGATGCTCTTTACCTGGTAGGCAAAAAGAGCTACAAAAAATGTCTGGAAAACATCTCATCCACTGAAAGACCAAAGAAGTTTGGTCTCCTGAACTTCTTACAGCTGAGTCTGAAGGTGAGTTACATCACAGAGTTCTGTGGGAACTGACTGAAAAGAAACTGCAGTATTATCATTAGGACCTGATTTACAAACAGAATTACTGATCTCCTTGTATTGAGCACTTGTCAGAGAAATACAGAGAATGCACACGAAGAATCAGCAAGTCTCACCAATGCAATGGGAAACCATTAACCCAAGTTCAGTTAAAACATTCTTACTACTGAGCATGTACTGACATAAACGTATGAATAACGATGGGGAGAGGCAGCAGCCTTTATTACTGAGATCATGAGATGCCTTTGCTTTGTTAGCATGTTCCTGCTGATGGATACCAGGGCAGGAGAAGGGGGTGTTGCCCTGGCCCCACACAGGAACACATCCTCTCCCCAGCTGTGGCTAAGAACAAGCAGGAGGGAGCTGGGGGATAGGTAAAGAAATCTGCACCCAAACAAATGGGGCTCAAAAAAGATGATCAAATAAGCTTACAGCAACTGTACTTGTAAGTTGTGAGTGCCTGTGGGAAGTGAAAATGCAGTTACTTGTGGATATAAACTGGATTAAAGCAGATGGTTAAACCTCAATCACAGCACTACTTTGATACAAATGCAAGAAAAGGCAAATAATAAGCAGGGTCTTCAGATTAAGTAAGGTATTGGTAAAAATAAGGAAAACAATATTGAATTCACAATGTGCAGTATAGGAACAAATTTATATTTTATATATATATTATATTTATACATACACACACACATATATGAATCATCTCTGAAGTGGCATTTTGGCAGGGGAAGCCTCCAAGAGGGCAGCTTATCTGTTAACGCTAAGTCTTGATGAACCCTGTCTGTACACAGCTGAATCTTTAAGAAATGCAGACATGGTGCATTTGTTTTCTCTTTCTTTCCAGTCAAAACATTATTGTATTGGACTTTTTTCCCTGAGCTCTACTATTAATTAAAAAGTATTGTTAAGGGTGCTATTTCACTGACAATTCTCAATATACAGATAACTTTTCTAATTTAAAAACTAATCTGGAGGCTGAGCCTTGCCAAAATACAGTGTTCAATTAATATAGGTGGGTGTAAAGTACAAATTAGCCCTATGGTGCAGGTATGGAGGCTCCCTAGATGATACAAACTTCAAGGTTCATGAAGCGAGAAAAGGGATATAGAAGTACAGATTATAGTGATTCCTGTTCTGAATGGTTCTTTCACGAAGGGTTGGCATACAATTTAATGTATTATCCAGTGTTCTCAGCCCTTAGTTTTGCCATATTCATTTAACTGTACATTATTATTACCCTTGCTGCTGCATTGGATGCTTCCCATTGCTTTCATAAATGGATGCCAGAATTTTATCAGCTCAACTTACGCCACTGAGACAGGCAGTTTCTATTTCTGTTTGGACTGACAAAATTCCTGTTAGATTTAACATGAGATGACTTCGGTATTTGGATGTGCAGTACAAGAAAGAAAAGGATGGAAGTACTGTGTTCCTGGCCTTTCCCTGGATAATCTTCTTTGCCAAGAATGGAGAGCTGAAATTTTTGTGGACTGACACAATTTCATATATATCACTTCTAGTTGAAATAAGTCATCCCAAGAGCACTCTACAGCGTGAGAGACAAGTGTTCCATTCACCTCCTCTAGCTGCTTTGCTTCCCTCCTTCCCCTGGAGATGGATGAACCTATTGCTCTCTCCAGCATGTCATCCCACATTTCCTTTAACTTTGTTGGAGAGCTGCCTGAGCATCGCTCAGTGCCCAGGTAATTAATTGAAAAGCCCCATGACTTCCTTGTTTCAAAAGGCAGAGATTTGACTTTGTAGTGCTAATGGGATTGAATATCATTTGTGGAATTTCCTTAATCATGGCATATTGACTTTCTGCCTAAATCAAATTACTTTTATCCATGTTGATTGCACAGTTATAAAACCCCCATGAAAATCTTTTTATTAAATGTTATAAATCTCCCTGCTAATACAATGTAAATGCCCCATTGTTTTCACTTGGTGCTGAGCAAATCAGTTCTTGCAGTTTAATCACACACTGAAGGCTGAAGTTACTGATAAAGTGACTCTTCCTTTTTATTTGATATTGACCACTGTGCCACTTAACTTTAAAACTAGAAAATTTTCACTTCTCCATAATCTTGGTCATACTTAGATGAAGAAGAGAAGCCTCGCACTACTCCAACCTTTTTATAAGCCACCTTGAACAAGAATACTAAATAATTATACCACTAGGCTTTACGCAGCCAATATAAAACACCTTGATGACTGGAAATCCCTTCCTTCACTGATCTTTTTTTTCACCACCAAATTCTGTAGTTATTACTTCTCTACTTAACCTGTCCCTGGAATATTCCTATGCTAATGTCCACTTTCTGGCATCACAATCAACAGCAAAAATGGCAGTTTCTAAATAGCAACATATACCTGTGGCACCAGAGTACTTACTCTGAGGGTGATGTTTAAGAGAAATGATTGCGATCAATCTTTTTCCTGATGAGGATGCTCCCTAACAAAAACAGGCTACACTTTTGAAAGAGCCATGTAGACACCATGAAACAGTTTACCACAAAATTCCTTCCTCGCTGAACACAAAGTCGTGGTGCAAACCCTTTGCAGCAAATGATTACACTTTCACCAAGAGCTTCCTTCACTGAAAGAAAATTCAACCTGCAAGAGTGTTCTCCCATGCCAGCTTTCCAACAGCCCCAACATCCAGCAGTCTTCCCTGGAGATGCTCTTGTCATCACAAGTAAATTCCCCATGAACCATCATGTGCATATGCAATAAGTACTGGACTTGCTCGCTGATCCCCAATGGCCTGCCAGAAGAAGCAGCTCCTTTTGTATCAGAGTTCCTGGCCCCTCTGTTCTCAGGATTTACTCTGCTTCTCCTGATGCACCTCCTCATGGATGAGTGTACATGGAATTAAACAGCTAGAGTCAACACTAACAACAACAAATTAAAGTCACTGCTGAGAGAGTATTTCTTCTCTGAGATTCTGGGCTTGATCCTTAACAAGAATCTAACCACGATCTCTTATGAATCATGAGCACTAAAATGTATTGCTTTTTAATTTGTTAAAAGAATGGGCTTTGTGGGCCCAGGGTTTTCTAGCACATAACTCCCCTCCCCTTCTTCTGGGTGATGATCACCCTTGTTTTATTCTTTGTAATAGACTATCTTCTTTCCTTTGCTTTGGCTCATCTTTTATTATATATTTGACTGATTATTTTTGCTGTCAGTCATATTAAAGTATTAGAGCAATTATTTTCAGCTTTTACTTAGCTACAAAGGTTACTGCTTCTTTTTCAGACCTGAAGTACTTATGCCAGAAAACACAAGTCTGATTTTTTTTCCCCAAAGTATTTTCATTACTATTGCCCTGAAAAAAGACATTGCCTCTCCTCATGGTTTCCCTTTTCCCCAGAAAAATCTCCCGTGCAGCACGATGTCAGATCTTTCTTCTGACACCTGCCATGAAGCGTCCCTCTCCGCGTGCCAAATTCAAGCAGGGCTGATAGCCTCAAACTAATGACGGGAGGCAGGACTGATTCCTCCAACATTTCTTTCTTCCCTCAGCTCTGTTACTTCCCTCTTCTCCTTCTAGAGGCCGACCAGGGGAGCGGGCCAGGGGTGCGCGAGAACGGGAACAGGTGGAAAAGAGAGAGAAAGCCTCAGCTGAAAGAGAGTTTCGTGGAAGTGAGGGACGCTGAGCGCTGCCGGTGGGGCGCTGCGCGGGAGGAGCCGAGTGGCAGAGCCGAGGACGGTGCGTTTCGGAGCCGAGGGGCGGTGGGTCCGGGAGCGGCGCGGCGGGTCCCGCAGGGGCCGCCAGGGGGCGCGAGGCGGGCGGGGCGCGCAGTCCCTGCGGGGCGCGGCGGGGCCGGACCGGGCCGGGCTGGGCCGGGCGGGGACGCGGGGCGGGCAGGAAAGCGCCGCGCCAGCTTGGAGTCGGCGTTGGGGGCAGTGCGGGCTTGGCGGGCTGGGGCTCATCGCTTAGAGGCGCCTGTACGGGCGGCTGCTTCGGGGCTCGCAGGATGCCGGCGGCGCGACGGCGCGGAGTGCGAGTGCTGTGGCCGCTGCTGTGGGTGGCCCTGGTGCGCTGCTACAACGTGGACGTGGGGCGCCCCGTGGTTTTCCAGGGTCCCAACGGCTCCTTCTTCGGGTACTCGGTGCTGCAGCACTACCACGACAGCACGCGATGGTGAGTAGTGCGGCCCCTGCGTGCCCGGGGCTGGCGGTGGGGAGGCGATCGGGCGAGTGCTGCCGGGCCATCCGTCCCTTCTGGCAGTCGCACCTCCTGCAGCGGGGCGGCGGGACCCGAGTCCCCCTCGCAAGGGCGGGCAGCGAAGGGGCGCCTCCGCCCCGGCTGCGGGGGCCCTCCCCACGCTCAGTCCGCCCCGTCGTGCGGGTGCGGTGAGGGCAGCGCCGTAGCTCCGCGCCCCTTGAGCGGGAGGGATTCCTCTGAGAATGAGCGGAGTCTCCCCGCGCTTGGAGGTGTTTTAACACCGGGATGCCCTTCTCGAGCTGGCGACAGGCGCTCGACATCGTGACCTCACTGTCCTCAAGTGCCAGCCTGCCCCTGGCCGATGGCTCGGCGCTGTGCGCGGTCCCGCTTACTCGCGGGAAATATTTAGCAGCTCATCGCCCTGACAGAAAGTGCACGGGATACAAATTGTGATGGGTCATGCCGTGTTAACGGGAAAGGTTTCTAGTACCGATCACCTCCAGCGGGAGCAGCGCGCTCAGCGTTGACGGAGTCGATATCCCTGCACTCAGCCTGGCGAGAGACAAAATCCTTCCGGAGGCTGGAGAGACGCTTCCAAATTGAGAGGCGTTTGTCCCCTTTGTGTGCCCGCTCTTGGCGTGAGGCACAGTAGAGGAAATGTCTATGTAACTTAAAAAAAAAAAAGACCGATGAAAAGTAAGTTTATCTACATCTCAAAAAATTATGAAACTGGCAAGCTTCTTGTTTTCCTATTGATTGAAAAGAGCCTTGCAGCATAGTCTGTCTCTTGTCTGGGTTAGAGGCTCTTTGTTAGAGTTAAAACTGATTTATCTTAATTGGATTTAGTTGATGTCGTCTGGTGCACTTCTAATGTGAGTAGGAGCCATTGCTGCCAATAAATGTCCACAAAGCGTGTCTTTATCTTTTATACTTAGATATGGCCCAATGACTCAGCTATTGATATTGGAACTTTGGTGCACTGTGGTATGAATAAATGTATTCATTCTGGCGTTCAGTTCTTTAAAAATGAGTTTCTTTCACACCCTTTAGTTCACAAGTAATTCTATGCTCTGCCTTTCTCCATAGTGGCTTTTACAGAGCATTAATTTTTAGGACTTATCAGAAGACTTTGTAGAGGAAAAACACCCTGGGAGAAGAAAAGCTCTCAGTTTAAAGCAATGCTTAATTTTGGTCAGGAACCAGTGAAGGATGTAAAGGCTGAAAACAGCTTGTGTTCAACACAAATTGCTGGGAATTCACAGTGGTGTGAATGAAATGCTGATCTAGTGCAGTATGGTGGGATGTAAATGATAGAATTTGTTGCTCCTTATGTAAATGTCCATTGTTCTGATTGATAATATGAATTATCTTCAGATAGCACCTGCTGCTGTGATTTTTTGGAAGGGGAGATAGACTAGGAAGGAGAGTCTCCCAGAAATCCCACTTGGTTTGGAAACATGCTGGACTATAAGTGTTGGGCATCCATCTGAAGGCAAGGATCTGTTAGAAGTCTAGTGTTTGAAATTAAAATCTCTAGTTATGGAAACTTCAGTTTTTTGAAAGTGGAGGTGATTCATGGAGCCTTGGCTATGACACCCAGAAAAGAAAAAAACAAACAACAAAACAAAACAACAAACATCTAAGATCATTAAATATTTTTAAATAAAGAAATTGCTAGCCCTAACAGTCAGAAGGGTTAACAGCAGTTTAATATGGTCAGCATCAGCACTGTCAGAAATCTTGAGGGTCGTATTGTCACCACTGATGGGAAAGCTCCTCTTCATTGTGGAATGAGAGAGTTTACCTTTATGGGTACTGCAAAATCTTGTTCCCAACAGACCCTGGGATAACAAGTTTGGGAGATACATATTTTTACACTCTCCTTGATTCTAATTTGCTATGCATAGTTGTACTCTTAATGTTTGCATGCATCCTAAAGGTCAACAATGAATCTTGCTTAAAAGTATATGTAACCTTCTTCCAGTTTTCTGAAGATGCCACTCCCTGTACTGAATGAGCATATTCTGATTGCAAGCACATTTTTTTTCACACTTCAACATAATAAACATTTAAAGTGTTTAACATATTTCTTCTGAAAAGCTTAAAAGATCTAGCCAGTCTTCCTTGACATTCAAAGCATTAAAGGGCTGAACCCTAGTAAATGCCTTTAGCTATGCCCACTTCAACTGGGCATAAAAGTTTCCAGTATTATATAGTAGTATTTCAAAACCATATTTATACTGTACAGAATCTTATACATCCTTTCAGAGCATAGAGTCTCTGATTTCAAGTTTAAACCAATTCCCAGTTGCAGGTTACTAAGGTACAGTAAACAATCCCAGTGTATTAGATGAGTGCAGGGGGAAATGCTTAGTGGAACTCTCAGCATTTTTCGGCTTTGTCAGGTTTCTGTTGCAAAGCTGTAGATGTATTTCCTTAACTAGCTTGTAGAGTCACTGGGCGATTTTTTTCCCTTCTCTTTTAACTGTGATATTCTGGGGAAAGGCTGAAGTCAGTTACAGGGAATATGTAGTAAAAATGTTTTCTATTCATCTCGTTATAGCATAAAGCTCCTCTTAAAAGTAATAGGTTTACTGTTTGGTTTTGTGTGTCAGTTTTTTCTTCTTGAAACATTTATATACCCAAGGAAGAGCAATGATTTTAAGTTTTCTCATGTCCATTTGACCTGTACACTGCAATAAAAAGTAGTTAAGCTAAATTAACTTTAGACTGATATTTTGGGCATTCATGACTTGCCCAGGGAGCTGTGCACTATATGAGCCTGCAAAAATGTGACCAGGCATATCTGTGGCTGATAGGGCCCCTACCCATCTAATATTGTTTAATATATTAATAGACTCTCAAGCATTTGAAAGTGTTCAGGGGCTTCTTGTTCTTTGTTGCTTGAGGGCATGATACTCATCTAACATGCTTCTGATCGTGAGAGCTGTGTTTGCAGTAGCCTGTCCATGTACTGGTATGTGTGTACATATCTGTGTGTATATACATGTGTGTGCACATATATATAGTCACAGATTCATATGAAAATGGTATCTGTAATAGCCAGACCTGTTTCAACTCTTTGTTTTCCGAGACCACAAAGCCACATGTTTATATTGTCTACTGCAAGCTTGCAGGTTTTCAGTAAGCTGATTCAGAGTTTGGTGATTCTTCAAGATTTATAAGAGCCAAATATTCTTGTAGGATGAAGGGGGGGGGTTATTTTGTTTGAAATATTACATCAGATAAATGTGAGTAGTCAAGCTGGTACACAGTCCTTGACACAGAAATTATGAATGTTCAGCCACCACAATAATATTGGAGCAAGTCAGTGCGTTTGACCTTTTATGAAATAGTTGATTGCAAAGATAGTTCCATTTAGAATGTGTTTTTGCACACTTTTTTATCTCAAAAAAAGTTTATTATCACAGATGTACTGATGTTGCTGATGTATTTCTGATGATGTCTGCTTTTCCTTCTTTAAATGGCTTTTATGGCTGTAAATCTTGACAGGTTTACTCAGTTACCTATCATTGCTATTTCAGCCGAGTGAGGAACCAGGTGGCTACTTGCATTTGGAGCAGAGACAAGCTGAAGTGCTTCTGTTCTCTGGATGTAATTTTGAAACTTTGACTAAAGACTCAAAAAATGACCCCAGACAGTTTAAAAAGAAACAAATGTCAATTTTTTCTCCAGTAAAAAGTGTTAATTATGTGAAATCTTTGATTGTTCTTTTTTAAAATGTTACTTTATTTTCTGTCCTTTCCCCTCTGTATACCTGCTTCTTGCTGACACCCTCAAATCCCTAGCAAGTCCAGGGTGACCACTTTGTCTTTCCTGGCAAAATGATCTGGCTTGAAAAAGTAATGGAGTCAGTTTAATTGCATGGTGTCATGCTGTGTTTTACAATATGGAATGAGTCTGTTTTCTGTGCTGTTGCATCATTCCCTCAGTCTTGCTCTTCACTGGATTGCACTGCTGCTGAAATAATGAAGGCTGTTCTGCATCTTAGGCTGATGGATGTGGGTTTTTTTAGTGTGTCATGTACTTGTGTGCAACCAGAACAAAGGCTGTGACAGACCGACCTTGTGGTGGCTGGGTGTTGTGTTGCATAATCTAAGCAGTGATGCTGTAGGTGCTACCATGACATTTTGGGGAACCTGAACTTGCTGTCTTTGGTCACAGGTCATCCAGCCCTACTGCTTCTTACTCTGCATGTAACGGATGAAACACTGAGGTTTCATCCTCAGTGTACCCCAAGTACCTGGGGTTTTTATTGCAAGTAACAGAGATCTTTCTAAAGGGAAGAAGCTCAACTGGGATATGATGGCAGTGCACCCTCCTCTGGTACTGCTTTTGAAATCAGCTCTGGTATGCAAGGATATTTAAAGACTTCTTTTCCCTACCACTTAACATTGCAGTGAGGTGAGGTACCTACAGTCCTTGAGTTGTGATTGCCTAATCGCTGCTGACATGCTGCAGGCTGATGCTTAGTGTGCATGGCATCTCTCCAGCCATTAGTCGGCTCTGCACTTTTTCTCCCTGTTCCTTCTGTTAGATGCAGCACTTATTTTCCAAATCTGTATGTCCCGAGGGTCAATCACCAGTGAAGTGATTGTTAGTGTTCTACGGGAAGTAATTTTACGAAGGTGTGAATTTCCCTTTGGCCAAGAAAGCTTCTTGTCATCCATTAATATTGGCAGCTCTGACTCCTGCAGTGGAATGGTTTCTGGCCATGCAGCTATGTTGTTGTCTCAGTACAGATGAAGGTGTTTTGGCTTCATTATGTGAATATGAATGCAAGAAGATAGGGTTAAGTGGCCTTTCTGCCTGCTGCTCCTTATTTTGGTTTAGACCCCAATATTTTTTTCACAGAGCCAGTGGGATGATGCTTACAGATTTTTTTTGCACCTCAAGCAAAAGTGACTCTAAAAAGGCCCTGGACTCTACTCCTTCTGCCCTCAGTTGTCTTCCATAGGAAGAAATCTCTCTCTTGAGGGGATTTCTTCTTCAAGGTATCTTCAGGCAGATACTCAAAAATATTCTAGGGGCTTCCCACAGAATAGTATGGTTGTGGTGAGAACCAGCAGTCATCTATAATCTGTGCAGAGAGTATTATCTGCTTAGTAAGCCTTTTGGCAAAAGGCTGGAGAACTGCTGGTACTTGCTTGCTGACAGCACAAGTAGTCGTATAGCAGCACTGGAGATCTATACCGCAAAAATCAGGCTATTTTAAACCAGAACTGCTTGAACAAGAGTGAAGTTGGAAGGTTGTACTTCTGCTAGCTGTATTTATATCTTCTGTGTTTGTGCCAGGCAAGACTCCACAGTACTTAAATGTGAGAAGACTGTATTAGACTCTAAGATTTTTTTTTAAATGGTTTTCTGAGTTGATATGGTACTAGACGAAAACCACTTTCTCTGATTGTAGCATTGTTTCATAGAAATCACAAAAGATTTCACAAGTGTTTTAAATGTATAGAGGAGATACAAAACAGGTGTTTGTTTTGCTCAAGGAGTCCCAAAATATTTAGGTGGAAATGAGTCTTCTATCCAGGCCTGCTGAAAGTCTCATGACAGTTAAATAGGTGACTTTTTTACAACAGTTAAGCCATTACAAACTAGTGAAAGAGTAAGCAAGTCCTTATGCTGGCAAAGGAAATATTCCGGTCTCAAACCTTTGAATAACATTGAAGTAATTGGTATGTGACAAATACCAACCAAAAAGCATGTGAACCAACAAAAACCCTCCCATTTCCCTGAAGGTAACCATCTCAGGACATGGATGAGCATGGATCATGCCAGATGGAACAGGAGATCTGCAAAGGTTTTAACTGCTGGGTTTTAGGTGCAAGAGTGAAAGAATGAGACAAGATCCTAAGATGACATAGTATGGGATATAGGTAAAATATCAAATTTGAATGAATGGATATTCAGGACAATCTGAAAGAGATTTGCTTTTGGCACGTGTCACTGTCTGCTTCCTTCTGCTCAGTCCACGTGAAGAAATGTCAGCAGATATTTTCTTTTTGAAAGGTGTATTTGCTGAAGACAGCAATATTATCTGAGCCAGTAGCCTACTCAGATCATTAATTATTAAATTTTCCCATTTGGCTTTTTAAAGAAAGCTGAAAAATCTTTGTAATTTAGACTCCATCATCTCTGTCTTTTATGCTACAACCCAAAGTTTCTTGTGCTCTAGTTGCTGAATTGTATTTACTTTTTTAGGTTAGAGCAAAGCTTCTTGTAAGCTGGAGATCAGTGTGGCCTACATTATCTGGTTGTTATAACAGGTGATAGAAACAGTTTCTTGCCACTTGTAATTTGAACTTGTAACTATTTAAGCTAGTAATATTTATTTTTGTTAGACATCATGAATGTCAATAAGTGAATGATAAGCATTCACTGCCTGTGTAAATGAAATGACTGGCATTTGATTTTATGCCTGCAGCCTGCCTAGTGGGATTTCCATGTGGAGCTGTTATTTCAAACTCCTTTTCACTTGCTGCCCAATGTGTGCAGGTTTTGTAGGTTTTAGCAATTTAAGTATTTTGGACATTAATTCTTCTCACTTGTGAAAACAAGATGTGCATTGTAGAGTGCAAGACTGCAACCCCATCAGAATTCTCCAAATGATACAGCCTAGCCCAAGAAACTTCAGAGAAAATGGTCACTTAATGCGGGGGTTTCACTTCTTTTTGTAAACACATCAAGGGCCACAGGATAGTTTTGTTGTATCCTATGTCCAGGGGAGTGTGTCAGGAGTGCAGGCGTACTGCTGTTTGGTATAGATGAGGCTCTGATGCAGGAGAAGCTCTTTCAGATTACTCAGGTTGACCCTGGACACATGCACACGTTGTGTCTTGGGTCTTCCTGTGTTTACTGGGATGGGTGGTGGTTGTGGATGTAACTTTAGAGGATGAAGGAAAAGTTGTTTAAAACAGGGAAAGCATCCACTTTGGGACTGGTGCTGGGCTGTCCATCTGTGCCATGGGAAAGCTGTGTACACAGACTGACTTTGCATCAGTAGCTCTTTATCCCTTTAGTGGCTAAACCAAGAGCAATGTCTCCTTGGTCAGCTGCTGCCTCCCAAGTACCAGGCTAGGTCTGCACACAGGAGTGTTGGAGCCTCAGCCTTTCAGAGATGCTTGCCCTTAGTTCTACCCTGGGCTTAACTTCAGTGAGGATTTTTTTACATGCAGAAGCTCTGTCATGCCTGACATAGCAAGAGCATTGCAGAACAACAGTTCTTAAATACCTGGTGCTCCCCACTGCCCTCCCTTGGTCTGCCTTCCTCCTGCTTAACCTCCATCCTCATCCTCATGTGCCTAGATCTGGACTCATAACTAGTTGAGAAAGATTGTCCTTTTAATGAGGAGGCAGTGAAAGGACTCACTTAATACTTGTGCTCCCCCTGTAATCCTTCTGAAAAGGCATCCCTTAGGGCATGAGCAGGTAGATGCCAGCTTGCTAAACAATTTAACTGGATCCTAACAGAAGTAATTAAAAGGCGCTCATCATCTTTCAAGGATAACCCTGTAGTCAGAACTGGGCATTGGTGCTTCTCAGAAACAGTAGGTCTCAGGTGGGATAAATAGTTCAAGTAAAGTCTTCACAGCCTCAAGGATAAAGTTGGCTAATAGCAATGCACTGTGGAAGAGATTTGCTTATATTGCTGTTTGTGCTTCCACTTCCTAAACAAACTTACAGATCTTGGGCTGGCTCGCAAGCATGCAGGTTCAGATTTTGTCCTCTTGTGGGTGTGTGTATCAGCTCTGGGTTGACAGGGATGTAGCTAAAACTGAGGAAAAATGGGTGCAGCTGTCCATCCTAATGATTTCCGAAATACTTTGGGTGTGTGTGTGGTGAGAGTGTGTAACTTTAAAGGTGTTACAATCTTAATGGAAATTTAACTTGATAAAGTATTATGCCTTCACTGTGGAAAAATGCCTTTACTGTGTGTGGTGTTTTCAATTTGTGAGTCAGTTTCATCATTTTACAAGGTTGCTGAGAAAAGTGCTTTTGCTGAGGAAGCTCTGGCAATGGGAGCCTTGGTAGTGTGTTTGTTCGTTTTCTTTTTAATTTTCTCCTGAAATTAATCACTTGTTACTTTGCTTTTGATTTCCAGGGTCTTGGTTGGTGCTCCGAAGGCAGAATCTAAATACAGCACCTCTGTTCAGTCCCCAGGAGCAGTGTTTAAATGTCGAGTCCATACCAATCCTGAGAGAAGATGCACAGAACTGGATATGGGACGAGGTAGGTAGTTATGACGCTTTGGGTCAGATGGAAGGAACCAAAAAAAATCCAACCCCTATGGCTAGCAATGCTTCTGCCATCTTCAAATTGGCCCCAAAACACTGACAAGGAGTCATCAGCCTTTCTGATGGATTTTAAGCAATGGTAGCAAAAGTGTCTTATTCTCTTCAGCATTACAAAATAACATCCCACCTCATGCTGTTGTCCTCCCAGTGGCCTTGCTCGCTCTTTCCAACGAGTAACCAGGTAAAGGTGGATTCTTCCCTGCTTACCCTAAGCTGCTGTCTTTTCTTCACCCGCTTCAGTGTAACTTTGCAGTGGTGTGTTGGTGGTTGTATGAATGGTTTGGAGTGCTGCTGCCTGCTCCAGGCAGTGCTGAAGTAAGGGTGCATGAGATGACCCCAGGCGGTGCAGGAATGGCCTCATGATGTGTGGGGTTATTAGTAATCCGGTGATTTGTGGGTTCCCCCATAATGCAGCAAATCATTCCTGGAGTTTGCTCTTTGTGATGAAATGCTCTCAGTAAGAGATGTACGCTATTGCACTTGGTCAGGATTGACTTCAGTTTCTCCGGTGTACTGTCTGAGTCAGAGGAAGGTGGAGTCCTAAAGTAAAATTCTAATTTAAAATCTCATGCTGGATAATGATGGTGAAGATTGAAGCCTTTTAATAGTTTGATTTTCTTGGTGATATGTTGCTTTCTCTGCCTATAAAAAAAGTGATGTTAGTATTGTTCATCTTTTCATACTTATACCGAGTCAAGTAGAATTTCTGTTCATGAAGCTTACATGTGTTAAAACAGCGTTTTGGCTAAGTGATTTGTCCTGCTACTGTAATGTAAATTATCATGGATTTGTGAATGCTGCCTGACAGGACTGAAGATTTCGTCCTCTTTTTTTTTTTTTTTTTTTAAGTGCTCCCTATCTCATTTGCAAGAGTAATTTTGCTTTAATTGCATTCTGGAGGCAATCTGATGTCTCTCCCATTGACTTGATCATTTGGTGATTTATTCAAGTAGAGCTGTGGACATGCTGTAATAGCTGCTGGCTGTTGGGGAGAGGGTCTGTCAACTATGTATGTGTGTGGTACCTATTACGAGTGAGAGCACTGACCTGATTAATGCATTCAAGAACTAATAATTAGGAGGAAAGTAAAACACCACTGGATGTTTAAAGGGCAATCTCTTTACTTGTCAGGATTCTTTGGTGGGTATTTAAAACTCATGCCTCCTTGCTTTGCTGCCTTTACTGTCTTTCTGTAGGCAATTCTCGGGGCACACCCTGTGGAAAGACCTGTAAAGAAGACAGAGATGATGAATGGATGGGTGTGAGCCTGGCTAGACAGCCGAAGGCTGGTGGAAGTGTGCTGGTAAGTCCATGCTTTTCTTTGATCTCGTTAAAACTGTTACTGCTGTCTGATTGTAATGGTAAGCATGTCAGGATTAATGTGTTTGGCAGTGACTGACTGAGTCCAGAGTAAGAGGCAGCAGATTCTGTAGTCTCTTCCTTCAAGCAGAAGGGAAAGTGAGTCCCCAGCCTGAAAATGCAGTTTATAGAGGGAAGATTCCAAGCCATCACACTTGACTCATGTCACCCAAGGACTTCTTCCTAAACCTGAGAGATTATATCTTTGAGCCGAATAAATGGAACTTTGTCTGGGAGGTACCTACTACTTTGTTCTTTTTGTAGTTTGCCTGTGTTTATGTAGGGAATATGCTTATTTTCCTTGAACATATGTATTACATGTCAGAACTTACAAGGAAAAATGTAAAATGAGTCTTTGTGGCTGTATTTTTTATTTATTTGTATTAATTTCCTATTATCAGAGTAATCCTGACAACAGTCTAATTCTAGACACTACTCTTTGTGAGTAGAAAACTTTCAGTTGGCCCCATCTTTCTAGCGAGACAGGGGACTGCCTTGGTACGTGGCATCAAACTGTCAAAAAGCTGCTAGTGAGAAAGATCTTGTACAGTGCCAACCACCTGTGTAAGGCCAGAGGACAAAGCTGCTTCCCGCAAAGGTATTTTTTTTAATGTGTGCTTACAGTCCAAATGGTTATGCCCCAAATGCTTGCACACCAAATTCCCTGTGAAGGGAGCAGGTGGCTTTAAAACCTTTATGTGACAGTACTGTGATATTTTATCCCAGTATACAGCTGGGATACAGCTTACCAGTGTTATAGGGGCTAGCTTTACTTTTCTTGGATTTCTTAAGTGTGGTCAGGACTAGAGGAGGAGGGGAGAAAAAGAGATATAAATAACATACCCTATAAACATGTACCGCAGGGCGCAAAATTAAGGCGTTCATGAATAGTGTAAGCTATTGATATTTTCAAGGGTTATCCTGAGGTATATGTGTGCTCAGTCCTGTGTAACAACTGAGGAGTAACTTGCACTGAGGATAACGCTACCTCAAAACACAGCATCCTCTTCATTGTCCAGTCATCAGGCTGAACTAGACAAAGTCATTCTAATCCATTTTTTGAAGGTAGCTCATACTCTTTTTTATGCAAACATTTTTAGGTTGAAACATTTTTGTCGATATTATATCTTAAGAATAATGGGTTTGTGTATTTTGGTTCAAAGGGAAACAGGTTGCAGCTGATGCTTAGGGGTCATTTTCCCCTAGCATCAGAAAATTAAGCAATCAGAAGCAGAAAATTAAGCGAGTGCTGGTAGGGCAAAAAGCTGGGCAACCACCGAGAATGGGGCTGTTTGCTGGCTGGCTGAGTGGAGGCTACAAGGGTGAGAGACATGGGCAGGCTGTGAGGCCCTAAACTGGGGCTGAACGGATAGAATCTTCACACATAAAGGAGGTTAAAAGTGAAATGTAGCTAAAGTAAAATACGCAGCTGGGGGTGTGCTTGTTTCAGTGCAGATTAAGCTAGTAAAATGTCTCCACAAGTGGCACTGATTTAAAGCAGCCCTAACACAGCCTTCTGACAAGATTATGCTGTCCCTCACCAAGTAGATCATGTCCAGATGCTTGAGGATATTTAAATATATAATTCTCATTGATATTTATAACCAAAGCACTGGCTCTTCAACTGCTAATTATATATCTGTGCACATCTGCGTGCCTGGAATGAATGCATGCAGATTCCTTTTTGGATGGAAATTACCTGGCTGTTTCAGATCATTGTTATTCTGTTTTGGGATAACATTTTACTGAAAAAGATTTGTGACTTTCCCATGAGCAGATGGCTTTTAGTACATGTGCTCTTATAATTTTAAGGATCAGTATTTCTTTAAAATGTAACTTTTCTTTGAAGCCCCTTTGAGAAACTAGTGTTCTGAGAAAACATGTCTAAATGTGCGTTCGTAGACATATTTGCCAAATTTTTAGTTTTTTAACAAAATTACTAGCTAACGTGAGTGAGTCTCTTTAGTTAGGAGTGTGTGCAGTCTATTGTAAGACATTACAATTCTATTTACTGCATTTCTTCCGGGAATTCCTTTAAGTCAGGCTAATATCTTTGTGGTCAATAGCCCTGGATGAATTTTTTTTGCATAAGTAAGTGTACTTGCCTGTGTGAAATATTCATGCTCTTGAGGTCCTGTGTTAGATTAACTAGTTCCACAATTTAACTGTAGATTGTATAAAGAAGTTGTTGCTTTTGCTTTGAAACTGCTTAGTGGCCTAAATTTTTCTCTAATCAACCTTCCCCAATTGCCTGATAAGAGTACCAGCTTTAGTGGAAAGGGGCAGTAGGGAAAGTGAGGAGTGTTCCAGGGGGCTTTAGCTAGTGTTTGGTAAAATGTGGATTGTGTTTGAGCCCATATTGTGCCAGGATGTTACTAAATCGGAGTTTTGTGTTTGTGTGACAGACTAAATAGGAAAGCATCAGACAGTGAGAATGTGAAGAAATGAAGAAGTAAGATTAAATAAGAAAGCTTTCTTTCCTCAAATATGCTATCGGTCCATCTTTGCATTAATCTCAGTACTGCAATAATACAGCTGAGATTGCTACGTCTTTCCAAACTGAAACAGTGAAACTCCTCCTTTTACTTTGTTGGGAGAGGAACTGGGGACAGTGCATTATGATTTGGAGATAAGCCACATCCTTCAGTCTTGGTCTTCCTAAAAACCTGCCACATCTGTCATTGTGTTGCTCTTCCTGTGGTGCAAAGCCCACAGCTGCAACATTGAAAAGAGCCAGGTGTCTGCAGTTCTGAAATGGCCTATTCATTATATTGGGGTAATGCAGTGTCAACCATCAATAGATAACTCAGCTTGCTTTGTTCAGAAGCATTTTATTTTGTTTCAAGAGTTAGCGTAATTTCTCCCCTGTTCCATGGTAGAGCTGGAGCCTGTGCCCTGGCAGCAGCTGCTGAGTACCAAAGCGTTCTGATGGTTTCCTCGTTGCACATAGCTTGCATCTAAAATAGTGTGCATAGACTGGCTGTCAGTTGTTTGCAATCACTTCAGGAAAAAAACCCAACACATTAAAATTTGCTCCACAGCATCGAATTCAGGTTACTCATTTCTATTCCAAAGACCTCTTCAGACATGTGCTGTCGAAGAGGGAAGGCTCTGGACACCTTTGGTAGCACATTCTCTTGCCTCAGCAACGTTGGATGATGCAGTGACAGTGTATTGTAATCAACTCTAAATGCTTTTGGGAAGACAGGAAAACCAAAAGCAGCTGTGAACAAGCTTTGTCGTGGCAGGGAGACAAATGTGCTCGTTTCCTAGCTGCAGAGAAATGAATTTTGAAGAGGAAGAAAAACTCCTGTTCATTGGGAAATGTCAGATTCTGTAGCTGTGGCATGGGGGAGTCTGGTGAAGCCCTGACTCGATAACCGAAGTGGAGCTCATCCTTTGGAGGTCCACAGACTGAGGCAGTCAGTGGTAAACTATAGTGTGCCTGAATACACATCATGATGAAGGTACAGAAAAATGATCATTAAAAAAAAAGACAAAATCCAAGTCCTAACAGAGTAGGTAAGTGTGCCCAGAAGTGCTAGACTGAGCCCATAGCTTCCAGCTGATTTTGAACATACTTCTTACCCAGCAGCTTTTTCTCTCCTTACGTTGTTCTGTCTTTCTTGGCCTCTGTACTTCACTCCTGAGCAAAGCCACCTGCTTGTGATGAAATGTTCCTGTTCTCCCTGACTCTGTTGTTTGTGTTCCTCTAGGAGAGTCCCCTGAAGTTTCTGAGATACAAAACATCAGGGAATTTACAATACCACAATCCTTTATGTTTCCATAATTTTAAAAGAATACTCTTGGTCTGCTTCCTTTTAAGTTTATATCCAGAATTGGGATTGACTTGACTGTCACTTTAAAGGTATTTGTCTTTATGGCACTGTCTTTGAAAGGGCTATGTGTGTGTATATTTGTGCTCAGAGCACAGATCCATCAGGAGAGAAACTATTTCCCAGTTACGCTGAAAACAATAATTTCATATGCTGTTTGTTTTTTTTTTTTGCTGTTGAATTTTGATTGAGTAGTGCATGGGGATTGAAATCATAACTGAGCCTCCTTAAAGCACATAAGGGAGTCTCCAAAGCTACTCTTTGCAGTACTTCTCACATGCATTTGGCTGTGGAGCAGGGTGCCCTCAGAAGTGTCCTTTGCATCACAGCTGACAGCCTGCCCCACACAGTGTGGTGTAGAGCATTGCACAGCTCCCAGAGCCCCTCACTGTCCCTCTGTGATCTTAAGGAGGTATGTGCTTCTCCTTGAGCACTGAAAGTTAGGAAAGCAAAAAATATCAAACTCCAAGTGTAGCACAGCTAATACAGAACAGGCTTTTGCACAACTGATTTTGCTCTGTGGGAGTAGTATTACCTGTTTATGTCTTTTTGGAGATAAGAGGCCTCTGGTGGTGGCTAGATTTGAGCTTCCCAGTGGCTGATACACTTCCCACATCCTTTACTGGAGAGGTGACACAACTGTGCCTGCATTATGGATGGATGTTGTTTTTAAAAACATTGAGGTGCTTTCATAGACAGCTCTGAGGTGCTGAGGCAGAAAAGTGGGGTAGCACACAGGGATGGAAGACTGAGGGTATCTCATTTGGGGGGGATGCAGTCAAATGTGCGGTTCGTGAAGGGGACTGATACAAAGCTTTGAGGAAAAGTTGAAAGTATGTGGAGGAGATGATTTGTAGCATAGAGGCTGCTCTGTTTGCATGGGGCCAAGCCTTGAATGATACAAATGGACATATCTACACTGACTTCAGAGTAGACTTATACCAGCTGGAGATATGGCCTGGCATGTGCTCAAGTTCAAAGCCCTTGCTGTTTTACATTTTCTTTCCTTTTATTCCAAGTTAACCCTGAGCACAAGGCAACTTGTGGTTTGTCTGGCAGCAGTGCAGTGTTAACTTTTGGAGCAAATGAGTTGTGGGAAGTTGTGAACCAGGCTCTACATTGCTTGCATGTGTGCCTGTGCATGGCAGTTGTACTGAGCAAATGTGCTGATGAGTCTGGTTTTTCAGGATGGTTTCATTCTTAACTGTGAAGGGAAAGGCACTTCAACCTGTGCAACTCATCTGCACCTTGGTTAATGTTGCCACACTTGTTGCTGCAAAATCTCTGGCATTTTTACTTAAATTCATTACCAGTAAGCAAAGCTCAGCACATCTGTCACCAGAAACAGAGCTGCCTTTCCTGCTAGGAAAAAAACTTTGACTCACACATGCATCCTCTGGTGGGATAAGTTTCTAATATGGTCTTAGTAACTTTCTAAGTATTCTCTATGTCTTTATTCCTGTTTTTCACTTTTATGTGGCTTGACTAGGTTCTGTTAGTACATCTTTAGGTAGAAAAGCTTTGCTGTCTGTGAGGATTCATGCACAATAAGAGATCCTGGAATCTCCAGCATGAGCTCTGATATGCTCTGAGCCATCTTGTTTTCCTCGTCATGCACATCTGAATACTGAGATCTGAGCTGCCAGGTCAGGTAGAGTCATGAGCTGCAGAAGATAACTGTCAGAAGATACTTTATGTAGAAAGAGTATGATGTAAGGAGAACACAATAGGGTTGTGGGGCAGAGGTGGTGCTCAGTGGTCCTGTTCATGTGTGCTCTGCCTTGGTCAGAGGGCTCTCCTATGACTGTGGGCTAATAATCCGCGTGATATGATCTATTCAGGCATGTGCACACCGCTGGAAAAACATCTACTATGAGACAGAGTACATCTTGCCCCATGGCTTCTGCAACATCATTCCTCCCAACTTGCAGTCCAATGGGAGAAGGCTCTTGCCCTGCTATGAAGGTAAGGATTATGGGGCCGGGAGTGGGGCTTACCTTCCTTGCTACACTAACTGCTACAGTAACTCACTACTATTGATATTTTTCTTTTTTTTTTTTTTTTTTTTTTTTGGTAATGTGTGGCTGCCCAGTGGCAGTTGGATTTTGGATGAAGTTGGGAGAGTAGCACAATGACTGAACGGACCCTGTGAGTGGTAAAGTGCATGGTTGCACTTTACTGGAGGAATAATAAGTTTCTGAACTGTGTTTTTGAGACAGCAACTCTCTCCTAACGTAAATAATGAGAAGATATTGATCTGAGCTTGGCCTCTAATGCTTCACTGTGGCACAGAGTAAAAATTCCGAATTACATTGCAATCATGAACCAATTTGCCTATCATATAGAAACACTTTAATTTTTGCACTATGATTTGTCAGGGGATTAGAAGACAGGGCAGGGGGAAGGCTTGCTTTGCTCACTTTGGGGTACTTCTGCAACAGTTTATACTAAATCACTGCTGTGTTTTGGGTGCTATAAGGTCCCTGTTTGGATCCTCCAAAGGTCTGGGTGTGAGATAGATGCAGAGGGAGGGCTCCAGCTCTGAGCCATGGCTGCACCTCTTGGTTCTGCTTCAAATCCCATGTGGCAGCATTTTAATTTCCCCCTCTCTGGTGCATGTGAGACTCTTGTATCGTGTTTCCTTTTTTAAAGACTTCAGGAGGCAGTGTCTTCTTGGCCAAGAGTAATTAACAAAACTAGATGCATGAGTGTATTGTTAGGTAGAAGATAGGCTATCTCGTAAGATTTCTTGGCCTTGAAAGAAACATTTTGGGGAAAGCACCCACTTGCTTTCTCCTTTCTGTCCTGGGCATCATCTTTCACTTCTTGATTGTAGCAGCTTGAGGAAGCATGGGTGTTTGGAGGACAAGATGTTCTTCTTGTGGACAAGAACTCTGATTTTATTTACTTATTTGCTTTTATCCGTTTACCCTCCTGTCCAAAGTTGGCAACAGCCAGCAGCACGCTTGCTGCTGACAATAATATGTGGGAGAGGGATAAGGCAGAGGATGTCCTGGAAAGTTTCTCTGCTGCTGGCGAGTCCCCGTGTCCTAGCTGGGTGGCCTGTGAAGCCAGCTCTGTGACAGAACTCTGTCCTCTTCATACCCACTCTTTCTTCTGAGGTGACTCCTTACCTCCCTCTGGGCTTTACCTGGGGATCTGACATTGCAAATCCACACACCTTCTGAAGATGGCATGCACTTGTGCATTGAGCATTTCCCACCCCTGAAATTGGTCATTATTTGATATATGAGAAGTTTTGAGGATCTTTGCCCAGCCACGCCAACTGCTGGGCAGCAGAGAACAAATAAGCTTTATAAGCCTTTCTGTTGTGAGCACCATCCTACTGTATTTGTACTTCCCTGTCCCCCTGCCCTCCTTGTTACTGTCAGCAAAATCAGGATAAGGCCTCACGCTGAGGTCATACACTGCAAATCATCCAATATCAACTTTATGGTTCATATACACACATGAGGATGCTGCTGGGGCTCCCTCCAAGCCTGTGTCACTGCTCCTGCACTGCCTTAAACTTGTCTTTCCTGGAGCCGTGACAGGGAGGTGGTTTCTGGAAGAGACAAATGGCTTGTGTTTATCTGTGCGTCATGTCTTTGGAGTAAAACTGCTGTTAATCAGACAGGATATTTGCCAGGAATTGCTAGAAAATAGAAATGTGTGGGCCTATTATGTGCAGAGCAGCCAGTGGAAAGTTGGCAGGGTTGGTGCAGTAAGATGCTGGCTTAATTTCACTGCATGCTAAAGTGAAAATTGAAAGTTTGGGAATGATTTCCCACCTCCTTCACCCCGTCAGACATGAAATCACAGTTGTCATGAGGATTGTCTGCATTTGTTTCCTCCTGAATCTTTAAATTTCTATAAAACAAGCTCAAAGAGAGAGATAACTGTGGTATGTCACACAGTTCATTGTTTAAGGTTTGCTGTGAAATAAGTTTGCAGTCATCCTTGTAACTTTTTTCCTTCATTTCCTGGAAGGAGCAGAAGAAATTTTCCTCCACTGACAGCCCAAAGCATCAAGTTTGAAGTGCTTCTACACTGAGAGCCTCTGCGGCCATTGCTGGGAGGCTACCAGACCCATGGCTGCAAACCCTGCACTGGGACACGTGCCTTTGCTTGATGAGATTCCAGTGTCTTGCCATGTGCAAATAGGTGTAGACTGTAGCATGCTCACTTCCAGAAGCCCTGTTGTTAGTGCCGCTAAGGCAATAAGCCTGAACTGGCAGAGGGTACAGGCCAGCTGGGTGCATATCAGTCTCCATTCATGGAGGAAATGGAAATTATCTAACTAGATGGTAGTGGTGCAACAACATAGTAGTCTCAGTCCATCTTATTCTTGTCTGCCTTCCCTGAAAGGATTGACAGAAGTCTGGAAGCAATTTAGAAAAAAATGAGATCAACAGCATGCCTAATAGTTAAATGCAATCTCTCTCAGTAGGAACTAATCTGGTTTAGATGAGCTGGATATAGCTGACATTGTGATATAGCTGACATATGGAGCCACAGTTTTCCAGTCAATGCTTTCAATTTGTCATTTTTCCCATAGTTTTAATGGCTTTCCAAAAAAGGAAGCTGCCTCTTCATTCCCCCAATGCATTCAGTTTGCAAAGAAGGGTAACTGTGTGTACTGTGAGAGACAGTCCAGCTAATGGGGAGAGCTGGAGTGCTTTCTTCCTCCTCTGTGGTGAGAATTAGTGGTGGCAGTGGGAAAGTCTGATGGTCTCTGGTTAGTAAATAAGGGCAACAGCACATGCTCACATGCCTTGCTTCCAAAGGGATAAGTTCTCCCACAGAGTCCAAACCACTTTTGATTTTCTAGGAACCATCAAAACATCCCTGCTTTGTGGTGGAAATTCAGTATCACAATGCTACGTCAGACAGGTTATTACTGTTTCTTCGTAGAGTAGTGAAACACTAAGATAGGAGTGAAAAAGCTTTCAGTGCAAATTATAGTTTACATCTGTGAGGATGGTAGATACAGGATTTTATTGCACTCTGGAGCTTAACCTATATTATCGCATCAAAGTCTTAGAGACTTGCAAAGAGGTTTGTTCAGAGAAGTTGACGAGCATTGGCCTTCAGAATTAAACAACAACACACATCAAAGCTTATTCCTTTTGTTTATGCATTGTTTTATTCAATTACTCGTTCCTCAGCCTCACTTCTCTTGTAACTTGAGATCATCCCGGCTACAAACCACTACCATCTTCTTCTCTTCATGGCACATCTTCAAAGTTGCACAGGCAGCAACCTCCTCCAAACTTACTGCTTTGCTATCAGCTGTTGCTGCAGCGGTTTAGTGGCTTGCAGTCTCTGTAATCAGTGGTGCACAGCAGTTTGCAGTAGACAAGAAAGAACAATAAAGAAGTGTAGAAAAAAAAATCTGTCCATGACAGCAGTTATTGCCTGGGGCTACCTGGAAAATAATGAATCTAAACCTCATGCAAACGTTGCTGTTCAGGTGTGCAAAAGCTGTGAGCTGATACAATAACTGCACAATTTCCGTCTAGTTGATTGCTTCACTTCATGGATTGTTGGATAGATGGCTGTGCCGTACGAGTGACAGGTATCAGTACTATGCGCTGAAGTGGAGGGGAGGTAGAAGCAATCTTCGTTTTCATCCATTTTGGGTTTATCCATTGCTTATGAGAGGCAGACTGGCCCTCAGGAGGAGACAGAAGTCTGTGATGCTGAGACATGACTGTCCAGGATGGGTGTCTACTCTTGGCTGTGTTCATGGGTGCATGGGTGGAAAGCAACCCTGCTTGAGTGTGGAGGTAGGCATATGCCACTGCAGATGGGAGTTAGGTGGGCTGACAAGGAGGAGTGGTTTTGTGCTGAAAGGGTTAGGCTGGAATCCAGGAGCCCAGTGTCTGCCCATACTGGGCTGCTGGCTCCCTGGGGTGGACTGCATCTGTCTTGATCCCCCCCAAAATGTGGTCCTGATCTCGTCTCTGTGTCAATAGAGGTTTAAATTCTCAAACAGACCCGATGTCTGAGGTGTTTGGGACTCTGCGCTTCTACTTGTAAAATGTCACTGTCCTTGGTAGTGAAGACTGAAGCAAAAAAGGCTTGAGTAATGGAAGAAAGCAAATGTCACCCCAGTCTTCCAAATAGGCAGCTGAGAAGGCATTCAGTATTTCAACGTTCTCTGCAACCTCTGTTGCAAGGGTCCCTCTTTTCATACAGTAGTAGGCTCACATTTCCCTTAGTATCCTTTTGTTGTTGATGTGTTTGAAGAAACCTTTCTTGTTATCCTTGACATTCTTCATCAGATTTAATTCCAAATGGGCCTTGACCTGCCTCATTGCATTTCTGTGTAGGAGTGGGAATCCTGCTGTAGGAAAGGCAGGGCCTTTAGGACATGCACAGAATTATTTTTCAGGAAATCCTAGAGGAATAAAGCTCCTCTCCTCGGCTTTCTGAATTAAAAAAATGTTCACATCAATAAAAAAATATTTTTTCCCCAGGCAAGGACTGAGTGGCTCTATGAGAGACTGTATGTGGAGAGCTAGCTATTCAAAGCCCTAGCAGTTTCTGAATAGCTATGGGCAAATATGGGCTTCAAGTCTAAGTGGAATTGTTATCGTGCATTCCTGCCCCGAAACCCAGCTGTGTTCTGACCTTCCTGGTCTGCTGAGACACACATCTGCTTTGGCAGGACCCTGCCTTGGCCAAGGGCATTAGGCATTTGGATTGTAATTTGTGGATCCAGTCTCTGTTCTGCATGGTCTCTCCAACTGAACCTCACCCTGTGCAACTGGTATGACCTCAGCAAATTTCTGAAAATCTGAACATATGGTATTAGGAAGAGACTATATATAATATTAAAGGGAGAATGGGGATGTGTGTATGTATGTCTACATACAATGTTTTGAAAAAATTCTCTAAGAACATAGCAGTTCTTATAATTAATTCTTTTTGATCTTCAATAAGATAAAATTCAACTCAAAGGAACTTGCTTGATTCCAAGGAGGCAATTTGCTTATTGATTTCATTAAAATTTTTATCATTTAGCAGTGAGTTTTAATGGGGTTTTTAAAATAAGAAATATAAAAAAGTTTCACATTATCACATTATATGGTAATTTTTTTTTTAATGATTGTAATACGCAGGAAGTGGTAATATTATGGTAGATATTGGAAAATAATGCTCTGGAAAAAAACTCCAAAGGTTCTGATCCGGCTCTAAGTTTCAAATGCTCCTAAGCTGAAAATGTTTGGATTAAGGCAGGGCAAAAAGTGATTTTCTTTTTTTCCTCTTTTCTCCTCCTCCTTGCCCTGAATTTAATGTATTTCTGAAAATAATTTTTTTCTCTTCATCAAAAAGATAAAAACCTTCCTCAGGTTTGGCAGGGTAAACAATTGCTATGTAAAATACAGAAACAAAACCTATAGGATGCTGGTGGGTTCCCTGTGAACTGGGAGCTTTGAGCAAGTGGCCATGAAAAATAGCAGATCTGAGCATCCGGCAAATGAGACTGTTGTTTGATCATGTAGAAGCACAGTGCCCTTTCCTCACTCGCTGTCTTCTTCCTGGGGCTGGTGTCCTGAAACCACCAGACTTGAAACTCCTCCACCAGAAATGTTTCTTGGGGCTTTGGTGACTGTCATTGTGGGGGAAGATCACTTTATTTCTCTGAGGTAGTAATGGGCCTGTGGGTTAAACCTCCTAGTGCAGGGTCAGTCACACACAGACATGTGTATCACCTTTTGCTACCCCCTTTCCAGCTGGCAGATCTGTCTGCCACAGATGGAAGCCTCTTCTGATACACCTTTACTGGGGCGATGCTGCTGCTGTTCTCGTGCTGCTGTGAAACTGCCTGTTTAGCATCTCCCTAGGCAGCACTCAGGCTATCTCTCCGGTTGGCCCTTGCTTTGCCTGCCGATGTGGGTGAGTGTGCCGCATGGTGCATGTTGGTGGCAGATCCACTAATAAAACCTGGGAGCCCTGCATGCTGGTGTCTCTCCAGGCTGTGTGTGTAGTGAGGCAGATGGCTCAGGTGGAGAGTGTGTGCTGTGCCAGGGATGACCACAGTTTGTTTTCTTCCCTTCTCCCATCCAGAGTACAAGAAGAAATATGGGGAGGAGCACGGTTCATGCCAGGCAGGGATCGCAGGCTTCTTCACCGAGGTGAGCAGAGGTGCATGCATGCAAGGGTAGGGGTTGACGAGAAGCTCTTCTACTGCATGCCCTGGGGGGAGACCCCTGAGCATGGCTTGGACAGCGGGCTGAGTGCTGAGCATGGTCCCTTCCTGCCACCAAACACCCTCCTGCCTTGTCTGGCTTCCCAGGCATCTGCATCTTGCCCAGTGGTTCATACACTATGTGTATGTCTCTCAAGGCCTGTGGACAAGAATGAATGATTTGACTCTGAGAATGTTCTTATTGTGTACATCCCAAAACTTGCATGGAACTATTTCTGTGTCTATTGTTAACTCTTTATTGTAGGTGATGATGTACAACAGTCTTCCCTGAATCGCTGTTTATGTATGTGTATGTGTGGGTAAATATAATGTGCATACATACGGAAGATAAACACTTTTTTTTTCAGTTCTACTACAGTTCCTTGTTGCAAAAAGGTGGAGAAAAACCAGCATGGTCAAATATATGGTCCACAGCTGTTCTAAATACCTGACCATATTCTTTCCTGGACAGAAGTCTATCAGCCATGTTTTAGTTATGTCAAGGATGAATTTGTTCCCTTATGTATGCATGATTTTTTTGGTTGATGTTTCAGGATTACAATTTTTTTTGCTTTTTTTTTTGGTTTTGGTTTTTGTTTTTGGGTTTTTTTAGATTTTTGTTAAGAGCCTACACTCACTCCTGATTATATATGCACTGATTTGTGGAATGTATTGTCCAGGCTGATACAAACAGAATAAAGGTCTTCTCTCTCAGAAATCTCCTTCTTCCATTTCAGTAAACTGGGATGGCAGGCAATGTTGCCACAGGGGCACTATCTGGTAATTGGATGTTCAGCTAGCAGCAGCTGTTTCCTGGCTTGTCTGCTCTGTCCATCCTGTTTCTGTTCCCATGCTTAAATCCTCCTTTGCTACCCTAGTTCAAAAGATATCTTTGAACTTTTATTGCTTCAGCCTGATGGCGGCAGGAAATGCAGATAAATGGCTTTTTGGGTCAAACAGGCAGTCCCTTGCCATATATTCAGTGCTGTGGATGGTAGTTGTTCCCATCAGTAAACAATCCCTTGACCTCATGGGCATGGCCCCTTACAAGGAAAAAGCTATTTCAAAGCACATCCTGCTCTTTAGTTGGGTTTGCAGTCCTATCCCTGCAGGAGAATCCCTTGTTTAACATTTCCCCTCCAGCTAGAACTGGTCACCCGAAGGGGACCTGGATGTGGTAGCATTTTCCCACAAGGATGGAGTCCACCCGTGGCTTTACACTGAATGGAGATGTGAGGCAAAGCAACTGTCCATGTGTCTTTGGGGATGGAGAACTTACCTAGGCTTAATGCTCTTCAGGCTTAATTTGGTCTCTTTTTGGAGGTATTTAAAACCACATGCAGGAATAAAGTTTCCCTGCAAGGATGCTGGATGCTTTGGGGCAACATTTTCTGAATTTCTCTTGTGTGCAAATGTACCTTAGCTTTTGACTCATGTTAGATCAAACTTTGCCTGATTTCTACAGTCTTTTAAAAAGATAAATCATGCTGGTTGTCTGTAATGAACCCAAGCCATTTTATGATTCTGTGATGATTCTATAGCCAGGTTGTCTCTCGAAGACCAGAGCGCAAGCAAAATGTTCCAACTATAACGTAATGTGCACCCTGCTTGTTGAGCACATGGCATCTCTTTAGCTTCATAGTTGTAAAATCAAAATCAAAAGCCAGCATCGGGACATGATTTGTAGCTGAGTGGTGCATGTGGGTGGGCTGGAGTGCTTCTATCTTTGAGTCTTCTGAAGAATGTTTGGGAAAGGCAACAGATAGAGAGTTTTTTGGGACACCTATGTTAGCAAGGATAAGTTTGATGGTTAGTAAAACTGAGGAGGGTCTTCTGTTGCAGCAGAAGTGGACCATAAAAGGGCAATGTGTCTCTAGAGTGTATTCAGTGACCTCCATTTTTGGGAAGAAGGAATCTGTACACAGAATGAAGATTTTTATAGATGGACTTCTAATTGGTGTTTTAAGTAAATATCCTGTCCCTTCTCCATTAATGTGTAAAGCATGAATTTCTGTCCCGTTTTGGTTGTTATTTTTTCCTCCCATCCTTTCCCCCACACACTTCCATTTTTCTTGTTTTAGGAGCTGGTCATCATGGGGGCACCAGGATCATATTATTGGACAGGAACTGTCAAAGTACTGAATCTCACTGACAACACATATTACAAGCTGAATGATGATGCCGTGATAGCCAGGCGGTACACATACCTTGGTAAGCAGCTCTCAGGTGCTCTCTGTGAGAAGAAGATAGTCCAACAACATATTTCAAGGCTTTGGTGCTATAAAGTTGATACTGATTTTTTAATGGTGATGTAGAGTATTTTTATGAAAAGCGTGAAAGGAAGAACATCTGAATTAAAGTGTGCGGGAGTTTGAGCCACATTAGAAATCCAGAATCCAATTTCCAGGCTTCCCCCCACCCCTTCCCACAATTCATCCCAACACCGGAGAAAAACTTTCAGGCCAGAGGCTTCTATAGGGGGAAGGGGAAGTATATACATTTATTTACAAAAATAAATACTATACAAACTAAAGGCAACTATATATATATATATTACATTTCTATCAGTCCTTTAAGCCCCTCCCTTTAACTTTAGTCCAGGAAGAGCCTTTCAAGGCTGCTGGGTAACGCAGTCTTTCTCTCGTGGGAGTGTTCTTGGCCCCTGAACACTCCCTAACCAACCTTCAGCTGTTTGTTGCAGTCTTTCTCCTCACGAAGTCCAAGAAAGTAGCTTTGAGTTCTTTCTCCTCGGTCTGCTGTGTGATCTGTCTTTCTCAGTCTCATACCTCGGTTCGTAGGCTGCTGTAGTGTAGCTTATCAGCGTACACGTCCTGGAATGTTGATTCCTCCTCCGGGTTTTCGGCTGTCCTGCGTTTAAATCATGGCAGAGACATCCTCCGGGCCTCTCTCTTGGGTCCGTCTCCAATTTCACCTGGGATTCCTTTCCCTGGCTCTGAGCTGTTTCGTCAGCAGCCCGTCCACTTGGCTCTGCTTTAATGCTGAGCCTTAAAATCCACCCCCCACCAGCCTCAATGCAGTGGAGGGGAATAAAAGCCTTGGCCACAGGCAGCTCAATCCAGTTATATGCTGTCCCAAGCATCCCGCAGCTTCGGGGGGGAAAGAGGGCCTGGCCTCCTCCCTCTTACCTCAGGTGCTGTGAATCTCTTCCTTCACAGCACACACTCCAAATGCTGTCTCTAACTCTGGCCTAGGCAGAGTTGGGGGGGCCGCAGGGCTCCCCTTCCCCCCCGGAGGGGGAAAGAAGGAGCCCAGCCACCCCCTGATCTTCTCCACCTACACGCAGCAGACACCAACAGAAAAAACACTGTCAGCAACTTCTGATGCTGTGTATATATGATTTTGAGCAGAAGCGAACAAGATGGACGGTGATTGGCTCTCCAGGGAACACTGCCCTGGCACCTCTGAGCCCCCAGCTCTCAAGGGGGGGCCAATTTCAAACTATGACAAAGTGTTACTTGTCTGGAAAGAAATATAAGCAGAGAAGCCTATGGAATATTACATTTTTCTTTCCTTGTTTTAAAAAAACCCCCAGCTTTGCTGTAGCTTTCTGACTGATATAGAAAAGGCTTTTGAACTCAACAGCACATTGGATTGTAGTGGGCTTCTTAACCTTTCTGCCTTTGCCCTGTGACAGGTAAATTATGTGTCATTAGTTAAACTACCTGTATGCTTACACATGCCTTTAAAATGGATACAACAACTAATTACAGAATGTGTATTCCAGATACAAATTTATTTCAACAAAAATAACACTAAATGTGTCATTGTCAACAAAACGAAGTTTTGAAAGGTTTGGCTATAGGTACATCGTTAACTCAATTGGTTTTACTTTCTCTAAAACCAGATAATGTCCCTAAAATACTTAATTTAAAGGTTTCTGCCTAATCTGCAGTGCCTAAGAGTGTTGAGACTTAGAAGGCAGTGATACTGTTTACAGTTTGTTACTGTTTGACTACAGTCTGGCACTGTCCTCACATTTTCCCCTTACCCTTTAGTCTTTAAAAAAATGCCACTTGGAAGGTGCTACTAATGAAGGGTGTCTGTTCACCTATTTGCAGACATAAATAGATTTTGCCACTGATAGACAAGAGCATCACAATTTATGGCAGAAGAGCAAGGCAAATACAAGAGAGCCTTAGAAGGACAGCTACTCTACTCATCTTTATATATTATGTTATTATACATTTTTTTAATATATCAAATGAAACTGAACCTTTGATCTTCTTTCAAATACATTCTTTTTTCTTTGATCTCCCATTTTTCTTCTTGCCTAGACAAAAATCTTTTAAAGCCGTTAACTTCGCTGACCTCTTTGCCTTCTGTCCTCTGCTCTCCCCCCTATCAAAAAGGAGCGTAATTTTCCAAGCCTTCCTGGGCAGTGACTTTAGGCAAAGGAGGACACTTCTCTCTGGTCCTTGTGCGACTGTTGCTCTTTGACATGATATTTTCCCTGCGGTGATGTGGTCTCCTTTCTCTGGGTGTGTTGTTCATGTTCTACTGCTTCCCTCTATTGACTCGCCGTTGGCAAACTGGTCCCACTACCAGCTCTGCATGTCCTTTGCTCATCTTCACACACACAGCTTTCTTCTCAGCTTTTGCAAGAGCACTGGAGGGTGTACTGTCTCTTCCCTTCCCCTGAGCTTTTGAGCAAAGTATTGGTGCATCCTGAGCAGAATAGTTGTTGAACACTATGTGCAGCCCGATGAGCATGATCCAACTGACTGACCTGTTTCTCTGGCTCTTTCCTTTCATGGTTATTTATTAATTTTTTATTTCCTCTCCCACTCAGGATATGCAGTGACAGCAGGTCATTTCTCTCAGCCGACTACCACTGACATTGTAGGAGGAGCTCCCCAGGATGGAGGCATTGGAAAGGTGTGTCTCTTTATCAAACAATAATGTGGTCAGATTCAGCAGGGCAAAAAACGTAATACCGATGCAGTTTCAATATGTATAAGAAGCCAAGAGTTTTTTGTCTACATAGTAATTTTGAAGAACTGAGCAGGGGAGAGATGAGGTAGTTTGATGAAGTCCTGAAATTTTCTTTACCTGTCCCTCCTGGTGCCTCAAATCCCTCATCCCTCTCTCCTCTCTTTCCCATCCAATCCTTACAATACCCATTTTAGTGAGACCCAGACAATGTTTCTTTCATACTGCTTTTTTTTAGGATTTGTGATATTTGGATATTACTTGAAGCTTTCCTAGAAATGAAAAAACTTTGAAAAGAGAGTTTTTCTTCTGCTTGTTTTTTTCATACATTTGACTGTTTCAGTATTTGCTTCAAGGTAACATCTAATAGCATGAAAAGGTACTTATTAGATACTTAGTTGATGTAATTTTTAAAACTTCCTAATACACTGAGGTTTTGTGGATTAGAATCTAGGTTTTTGCCAGCTGTACTTAGAAATCTTGGAGATAGTCTCTTAAGAAGGAAAGAAACAAAAAAGGTTTTCCTGTAGGCATATATATGCTCAATGTCCCAAAGATGAAAGCAAGTGTAGGGCTAGTTGGAAGTGGCTGGTGAGTTAGGCATGCCTGGTGTTCCTATGCTGAGCTGCTATTGGGGAAACTGGGTAAGAGTGAGCACTGTGACCCCTTAAACTCTTCTAAACCGCAGGTGGAAAAGTGGGAGTGAGGGGAGGGAGGGAAGGGATGTAAAGGATCTGCTTTTTTCCCCTCTTTGTTCAAAATCCAACCCTTTCGGGACCTGCTGCCATCATTTGCTTGAGCAGAGATGTCCTGCAGCCCCCTTCCATCTTCCTCCCTCTGGCTCTCCTGCTCTGTAGTCACATGAGTTGTACCTGAATCACAACAAGGAGCGAGAGGTCTTCAGTACCATCTTCAATACCAGAAACAATATTCTATTTAGGCAGATTATTTTTCATGGTAACCATGTCCCGGGGGTAGCAGTGGGAGTGGGGAAAATGGGATGAAATTAGAGGATGAACTTGGTATTTATACCTGATCTGGCATGACTAGGACATACAGGATATAGCAGCACTGCAGTTGTTACTGAGAGGACATGCATGAGAAAGACATAGTTTCCTTATCCCAGGTGTTCTGTTATGGCTGCTGCAATGCACCTTCTTCCAACCTGTTTTCTCTGTGGAACAAATTTAATTTCTGTATTAGGAGAGAGGAGAGAGGAAAAAAACCCCAGCTGCTAACATGAGATCCGTGAAAAAGCAACTGGCCCTGCAGTTTACAGACTACTGCTCTAGTTGCAAGAGTTCGCGTTATTCTCCCTCAGCATGGGATGTAGGTAGCAGGAACAAATGGCAAAGTGGCGGTAAGCAGTGCTGAGTACAGAACATTACAATGAGCAGTCCTGTTATGCTTTCCACACCCTCTAAAAAGCTAATCCTTTCCACTTCCTTGATAGAAAGTGATTAGCATTGTTACACTTTTTCACTGAAGGTAGAGGCAGGATTCTTAATGAGACTTCGTCATTTCTCTGAAGTTACCAAAAGCATCGTTATTAAGACTGGGTTTGGAGTTGTGACAGTTGGCAATGTGCTGTCACTGCTAAACTTGCCACTGCAAATGCTAGGATTTGCTTATATATAGAGTGATTGTCCAGTAAATCTGTGCTGTGTTCTTTGCTGGAAACAGCTTTGAACTGTCTCACCACCTATTAGTAACTCACCACATGTTCAACAATGTCAAGTGCTTGGCTCCGCCGTGTAGCCTTGGAAGTAAGGGATCTTCTGTCCTGCAAACTCTGTGAGCACCTGCTTGGAGGGAGCCTGTCAAATGCTGAAGGAATCTCAAAGGCTGATTTAGCCAGCCTTTATGTTGAAGGGAATCCCCTTCTACAAGCCATGCATTTTGCATCCTAAATTTTGGTACAAGATCTGTTCTTGAGCTTGTATTAACACTTTCATCCCCAAAGGTTCCTGATTAAACAGTTTCTTCTGTGGAAACGAGGAATGAGTAGGCTATGTTTAAACAGTTTTCTAATTTACAGGTTGTTTCAGATATAAGCAGTGGAAGTGCCTTGGGTGGTCTGATTGGGATTTCTACTGTGACCTTTGCTAAAGCCTCGCAAAGTTTGCAGTGCAGTAATGCAGGCACATGGCCTTGAGAAGGGAACGCTAGATAAGGGAATGGGAACAGGGTTATACCTTCTCAGTTTTTTGCCCTGCTCATTTCCAGACAGTATGCAGATGCCACTTGTTTGAGAGTTAGAAAGTTGCTTTGCTAGGTGCTTTTAAATGCACACATGTGGACATACACACATGCGTATGAAAAAAAGTAGGCAACAAGATAATATTCAAGCATTTGTTATGAGAAGAAGCCTGTGATTCATGAGCACAATGGGGAACTCTGTTTCATCTTTTAAAAGAGGACTAAAAAATAAAGTGGTTGTGAAGTTGGATCCTGGCAATAGCCATGGCCATGATCATGATTTAGATATTATTTAGAAAACACCAGTGCTGTACCATTATGTACTTCATAATTAGTATTGGTTAACATTTTTCTTTTTTCACCTTTCAGGTTTATATTTTTAGAACAGACAGACGATCAGGCTCTCTAATAAAGATTTTTCAGGCTTCAGGAAAAAAGGTGAGCATTTATATATGTATGTTTTCTGTTAAGAGGTAGAGGGGGCAAAATAATGGCAGAGTCATCACAGAGCATCATTTTCATTCCAGTCCTTCAGAAGTTTTCAAGCAAATCCTATTTCTTCTTATCCTCCCAAAACAGCTGAAGCTATTGTACAGGTCAGCTGTATGCCCTTTCTTCAGTAGCAGTCAGGACTGCAGTGTCTGCTCAATGCCCATGATTGAATTAGAAGGTCTTACTTGAAAGTGTAATAGCGATTCTCTTTAGTCTTATGTGACTCTGAGACGTGGGACATAGGGCTCCAGGTGAGGCTAGATGCAGAGATTGCCTCTTAGTAGATTAGTAGTTACTGAGAGATGCTGGTAACTTGGAGTTTAGTTTAATACACAAAGCCCCAACCTCTTTTTCTGTGTCCTGCTGCGACAGAAGGGATACGACAGTTATGCTATTTTGTGGAGGAGCGGCTCCAGTGTCTCCACAGATGATGATTTCACTCTTCCTACCATGAATCAGGAATCAGTCCTGCATTCTGCTCTCAGGACTGCTGTCATAAAGCTGAACTGCCCTCCCTCTCCATGAAATTTAGTGCATGCTAGTGAGATCCAGCTCCCCCAGTGTGGTGTTGTATTTGAATGGGGAACAGCTTGTGTTCTTCATCTGGGGGCTTGCTGGTGCTGTGTTGTAGGTGAAACAAAGTGGACAGTATGTCTAGCTATAGGTAACAACAAAAACCGTCTTATTTGGGAATAACTCAGTGAGGAAATGATACCCCTTATCTGGGGTTGTCTGTGTTCTTCTGGAAGGAGGGGAAGTACAGAAGAAAAAGATTACTGGTGACTTCTGGCTCTAGGAAGACCTGCCACCCTTGGAAATACCCGAAGTTGGGAGTGTTATCGTATTTTGTTATTTTTTCCCAGCAAGACACAGTTGCAGTCTTTAAAAACTTGCCTGGAATAGGGGAAAACTGCAAGGATGTGTAGGTGGGTGGTGTTACTTGTATTTTAGGACCTCTCCAAAATTTTACTTTACCATACTAGCAGAATTACAGATGTCTTGAAAGGAAAAGACCTCCCAGTTCATCCAGGGCATCTGCTGTGTTTGATTGCATCCTGTTCATTTCATTCCCTGTTGAGTTTTAAATGTCCCTAAGGATGTGCTTCTGGTAAATAGAGCTATCAGGAAGTTTCGAGGTTTCAGCCAAAAACTTTCCCTTTTCAATTTAATTGCTTTACTCTTATATATAACTTAACTAATCAAGTATTTACATCCTTTAAGTACTTCTAGGCTGTCATCTCCTTCATCCCCATTAGCATCTTCTACAAATTTTCTAAAATCCAAATGAGAATTTTATTTTAAAGAGAAGGCTGTGCTGAATCACCTTTTTTGTTGTTTGTTTGTTTTTTGGGGTTGACCTGTTCAGCAATGAGCACTGCCTGGAAATGAGCTGTCACAAAATGGTACATCCTTCCCAGTGGTGTGAAATTCATTATTCTGACATTCTTGTTAGACAGACGTTAACAGCAAGCCAGTTTTTTTCTTCCTTTTTTATTGATAGAGGCTGAACTAAGAAATCTAATGGAGACAGGAAAAAAGAAAATGCAAGACCTTGTTACAAATGTTAAATATGCAAACTTCAGGTTCTTACAGCACTGTGAACTCACCCATGCTGCAAACATACCATGTTGCAGTTAAGTAAATAATATCCTTTCCCTGAAAACTGCCTGAATTCATAGTGAAATGCTTTTCATAACTTTTGTTCTTTACCCATGAGAAATTTCTTTAAAAACCTTAGTGGATTAAAAAATAAACAAACACAAATCCCCAAGGGAACCTCTGCTACAAAATAACTGGATTCAAATGATGTTTGAGGTCTGACCTTAGACCCACACAAGCACAAAAATCTGAATTAACAAGCCGAAAGGCTGTCCTTCACTCACCCCCACCTGATATATTTAGCAACTTTTAAATCTTACGGACTGCACAGAATAGAGTTGCTGCTGCCCATCTTCTAGCATACCCAATAGCTGTGGCTCATGCATGTAAACTTAGAGGTATGGAAGGCAGTAGGTCAGAGATCTGCAGTGAGGAATGTAAAAGCATTCAAGAAATGTGGTTTGTTTTTTTGAACCTAAATAATGATTTCTTTAACCTCAGTGTTTCCTGCTTGATAAAACAGCTCTCAGTTTCAAGTAAGAAGTGATATCTTTCCCATTTTCCTGTGGAAGCTGCTTTTAATTTTGAGACTATGGTTTGTAGTTGGTTTCAAAGAGTATGCCTTGTGTTACTTGGGCAGGAGTGGATGAAATAAGGGTGAAATATCATTCTTGCTTTTGATGTCCTTCTTGCGTCTAATGTTTTTTGAAATTTGTAATGTGGATGCTGGTTGGGAGGAGGTTAGCAGTAAATGTTCACCCATATAAAAAAAACCATGGAATGAAATTAATTTATTTCCTAATTTTAAGCACTTATAATAAGCGGAGATTAAAAGTGGCTTAGGTTTGTTGTGTATCAGCTGAAAAACTTTTATTGAAAGTCTTGTTTCTTTATCAACTCACCTGCCTGTACATGAGAGGAAAGGTTATGATCAAGGCCCACAGCTAGTACTCTTTGACGGTGACTGATACAAATACATACAATTAGAACAAGGAAAGATAGTCCACAATCAAGAGTCAATTTTAGATACCTGTTTTCATGGATACCCTGCCTCTTGCCTACTTTTCTTTTTTCCTTTCGTTATTTCTTTAAGATATCCACAGAACATCTGTGGCACTGGGCGTGAATAATCACTTTCCGGGTCTGGTTTGGGAAACTCATTTCACCCCTTCCTAGTTTTAAGCATTTGACAAGAGAAAGCTAGTCTGAGAAAGCTCTTTAAGTGTCTCACTTAAGCATGACCCAGGTTATAACTTCTGTTGGTAGAACATCCAGGATGCACTGTTATAGTAAAGTGTTTTAATTCCTGCCAGAATTATTCCCAAAGCTTTCTCTGTAGGAGTGCTTGTGAGTGATAAAGCAGCAAGTCATCATGTGAAATTAAAAGAATAACCAAAACAAACAAAAGCCACGCCTATATGATTTCCTCCTGAGTGTGGGCAGATACTGAATACTTTGTTGTGACTCAACTTGGTTACAGATGGGCTCTTACTTTGGCTCCTCCTTATGTGCAGTTGATCTGAATTCTGATGGGTTGTCAGACCTGCTGGTTGGAGCACCTATGTTTTCTGAGATCAGAGATGAGGGTCAAGTCACAGTCTATATCAACAGAGGAAACGTGAGTATGTACAGGAGATGACTTGGTAAGGGATGAGGGCATGGATCTCAGGCAAGATAACGCTTATATTGTTCCAGCACTGCATGGTGAAACTCGATGTCTCAAATAAATGGGGCTCTGAATGTCTCTGGCAGAGCATGAAGTCACAGGAAGACTCATCTGGTATGGTTTCCCAGACACCGGCCCACATTCATCACAGATCTCTGAATCTTTCAAGGAGGTCTGAGAAAGTGTCTGGTTTTATGTTGAAACTTGGTGACATTTGTGACTTTTTGTGAAATTGCTGCCCAAACCAATTCAGAGTCAGTAGCTTTGACTGAGTTTCCTTTGTGTTTTAGGTGGTCACTAAGACCTAGAACGCAATTTAGAACACAAGTGTCTGGGGATCAAGGAAGAGAAACCAGAGATTGAATTAATTTTACTTGTGTATTATGGCCCATATTTAGACTTCAGGGGAAGTTCTTACCAGCTGGTACCAGTGGATTTCACCTGACCTATCAACAATCTTGGAAAAGTCTGAACTTCCTTGCATTGGCAAACCAAGACCATTGATAAGTTGTATTTAGAGGAAAACAATAGTTTTTAACATACTATTAAATACTTAATATTCAGGTCCCAAAGCTGCTGTCTCAAAGGAGAAGTTGTTATTGAATAAAATTAAATTGTTTGGCTTCATTTGTGAGCTTTAAGTTTGTTTATGCTAGACTTAAAATTCACCAGAAGTCCAAGCATTTAGGAGACTTTACAGATGCTTTTGGTGTAATTTTATTTTCTATTATCACTCCTTTAAACGAGCTTTACTTTTTCAGTTTTATCCATGGGAGGTTTCACCTTTTATGTTGCAGTGTTGCTGCTGGGTCCTCAGGATTGGGTCCAGAATGCCAAAAAGATAATAGCCAACATTTCCTGCTCACAGTGAGAGCATACACAAATTAATTTTTATCTTCTATAGAATAGTCAAGAAGCTAGTATGAGTTTCTTGTACTCCTGCACCAAGAATTACTTGCACGAGCAATGGTTTGCAGGATTGTGGATTTTATTTTGGGTTTTGGACATTTGAAACTTTTTTTCATTCTGCAATCACCATTACTTAACAGGTTGTTGCAGAGGATCAGAGAAAACTGCATTATAAAACAAGCATGCACAGTGATGTTACTTTTAAAATGTTTATGTTTTGCCCTTTCCTGTGAGGACTGCAAAGAATTTAGTCACACATACAGGCCTGCCTGTCTCCTCTCTGTTGTGTTTTATTTTCATTATGTGGGATTTTCTTGAAGTCAGCAACTCCCCATAGCCGAGTAAAAGATTTTATTACATGTTCCAGAGGGTAGTTTATTCTTATTCACAAAGGAAGCAAAACCAAAACCAAACAACCTTGAGGTGGGTACAGACTTGGATTGTGTAACTAAATTTTGTTTTCTTGTGGAAATATTCCTTTCCCCTTGAGGGAAGACTCAAGAAGCTAAAGCTTATGTATCTGACCAGAAGGTGGGTGGGCAAGAAATACCAGAGCCATATAAGGCTTCTCACGGCATAGGAGTACAAAACTACTTAATTCTGAACTTTTCTCTGTCTCTTTATTTCATTAAATCTCTTTCCTTATTCTTAATTTCAGAAGGCTTTTTGGGAACTTTGTTTTAATCCTTTTGTCCCATGCTCAAAATGTTTTCAAATTCAACTGTCAAATGTTCTTTGCTTAGGGGAAAATACTCCTTAACTCACTGAGTTTAGCTGAATAAGTCTGGACTGAGGATTTCACTCCTCAGATGTAATCTTCCAGTAGCAAGCTCTGGGCTGTTATGTTTTAGGCATCTGGAAACTTTCATGGGTTCACCAATCCCTGTGACTGCATTTAGTTATATCTCTGAGTTACTGTTTAGGTAATTTAGCATTTTAGTTATATCAGCCATGGACTCTTTCTGCCTTTCTCCCCTGTCCCCTTGAAAACTAAAACCCAGAAGGTTTAAAACCCAAATAAATTAGATTTATAGACCCCAGGTAACCTGAGTGCAATGCAGGAGAGAGGCAGGCTGCAACTCTGCCCCGGGTGCTTCCCACAGCACAAGGGCATCTTGCATGGGGAAGGCTTACCTCGCCCGGGAATTGCACCATTTCCCTGACCCTGTTTTATTTCTTGCTTGCTAGGGAGTGCTGGAAGAGCAGCTCATCCTGGATGGTGACAGCGCTTATAATGCACACTTTGGGGAGACCATAGCCACCCTCGGTGACATTGATGACGATGGCTTCCCAGGTCAGTGTAATTTCCTTCATGACCATTTCTCCGTCAGTGCCAGCAAAGCTGTGCCATGCAACACCATCAGTCTTGCATGGCTCAGTGCTGCGTGGCATCCATTGCTCCTCCAGATCTGACCAGCACCTGGGTTCAAACTAAGGATAAATGAATGTGCTTATGTAGGATTTGTGTGCTAAAGCCTTTTGTAGCTGTCTGTTCTTGATGTCGGTTTAGTCCATGTCTATGCAGGTCACACCTCAATCTCATTAATTGCTTTGCTTTCCATGCTGTTGTATTTTCTTCTTTTCCTATGTGGTTTATAAAAGGCTTAAGATACCCACAGCCCAGAGAAAACAGAAACCTGTCTGACTTCTTTCTTCTTTCCCATTTCCTTATGTTTTCAAGCCTTTCTGGTTTTTTTGACATAGTCTCATTTCTTATCATGTAGTGTAATTAAGAAATAGCTTCTCACTTCTGGTAGAACGTACTCTATTGATTTCTCTCCTCTTCTTTGTTCTCCCTGTACTCCTTTCTCAGGCCTCTCAGCATGAGGCCCATGCTGTGATAGCAATAGGTGAGTGCAAAGTTTTGATGCTGGCACCTTTTCTGCCCTGGTTTCTGGCAGTGCAGATTAAGGACTTCTAAACAAAGGCCAACTTAGTCAGTGTATGCCTGGATTTATTTCTTTCAGGCCACTCTGGGCACAGTATCCCATTCAGCCTAACTCAACCCTGTTACAGGTTGCCCTCACCAATGGTGGACATAGTGTTCCTCTCTATTTGGACATGCGTTTGTGTGTTCTTGCTGCTGCTTGTAGGTCAGTTGTGATGGTGAGACTGCAGAGGGAGTTGAATCAGTTCATGGGTATGAAGCAGTTGAGAAAAGCTTAATTTTTAGTAGCCACATAGTCACTAGATCCAACTAGAAGTGAAGAACAGGAGGTGGGATCATGCTTTCTACAAGAGTTTGCAGTTGAATTGGATCAAATGTACTTTGAAAGTGGACCCCCAGCAGCCTTTTTCTCTTCTTGCCTATCCATTTAGTATACCCAGCCTCTTTGTGAAGCCTTGGATTTTCAGCCAGCCTTAATGTAGTGCTGCAGTAAATATTTTGCCAGTCTTGTCCTAGTTCACAAAGCTGATGTTCCCATAGGTTGGAGGTTTTGTCGTGAAAGGTTTCTAAATTAACTTTTTGAGTATGGTTGCTGGTTAATAAACACACATTTTCATAACAGCACATGTTTCCAATTAATCTGATTCTGTGAAACATAGCCACATGCATGTACAAATTCATATACGTTTCTGTGGGTTTTAAGTTTATCTTAACATGAGCTCTTAAATAAATCAAACAAGTTCCTTCTATGTAGGTTCACATGAGCTGCTGATCATCTTTGTCATCGGGAACTGTTTTCCTATGGATAGCTGCATTCTAAAACTGGGAAAAAGTTGGATTAGTGGGATGGACTGTGAAATGTTTATATTCTGTACTGTTTTACAGATGTTGCCATTGGAGCACCTAAGGAGGATAACTACGTAGGAGCAGTGTACATTTACCATGGCGATTCCAATGGTATTATACCTCAGTACTCTATGGTATGTGACACTACCGTTTACGATACCTTTCTGAAGTCACTTTCCCAAGGCCTGCAGAAATAAACCATACTTAGGAGTTCCTAAGTTCCTTGTCATCACTCAACATCCTTTTCTCAGTCTTGATTTGAAGGTGGCTTCTCCCAGAGTTTGTCTGTATCTATGCTGAAGGGTAAAATTATGTCAGTCAGGAGGTATTTTTCACTTTCTTTTGTTATAGCTGTCAGCTGTATCTTCTTGAAGCAAAGTCTTAGGGGCTGAGTGTCAGTTTTTAGAGATAGTACTGATGCAGAGCAGAAATGGAAACCCTGGAGAGGTTAAGCATAGAAATTATGGAGGGGCCTGTGGGGAGTTGTGGGCTTGCACTTTCTTCCTGTAGAAGCAGACTTTGTAAGAAGGAAGAGATACTAAGTGTTCTTTTGTGCCTTACAGAAGCCTCTTTACCCACCTTGTTGACCTTCTTGCATTCTGACAGTATATCACAAGGCCTTTCTTGGGAGCCGTTCCCCTGACTCCCTTATTATGAAGTCAAACCTTGTCTGGGATATGCTATACCATATTGTGCAGGGATGACATAGTACAATTTAGCTGCTGTAGCCAGGCAGTAGAGATGATAAATTTATGCCCAACATGTGTCCGCTAGCCTCTCTCTAGCACATTTCTTTGTTCGGAGAATCTTCCCTCCCTCTGTGTTTGAAGTTCTGGTGGTTTTGTTTTGTTGCTGGGTGGGATCCTTCACAGTAAATAAATTTAAGCAGAATTAAAGAGTTTAGTGCTTGTATTGGAGATTCTTTTAACAGACCATAAAAGTTTAGTCCTTCTTCCTTTTACCATGTATGTGGCATGCACTCCTTTTAAGAAAAAAAGGAAGTTAAGTGACTCTTTAGTACATTTTACAAGTATTCTTAATGTGTGGCATGTGGTGGATTCTGCCCATTTTTTGCCAAGAGTCACTGTTTGGGAGGTTCTTCTCTGGCTGTTGAAAATCTTAGAGCTTTCAAGCTCTTGCTGAAAAGAATGGGGGGGGTTTTGGGTTTTTTTTTTGGTCATTCATGGGAAAATGTTACATTTTTTAAGGAGGACAGATCATCAGGGTGGGAAGAAAAACATCCTGTTTGTGATCTCTCCCTCCCCACTGGAACAAGGCCAGCAGACAGCACATGTGTCTCCATTTGGTCAGTGGGAAAACACCCAGCTCGAGAGGGTGGCAGGGTACAGTTGTTGACCCTTGATACCATTCCTATGGTTGTTCTATGTCCTGAGGCAGCCAAGAGGGCACCACTTACAGGCAGTATCTCTGTGCAAGTGATTTCCCAGTGTCTGCTGCAGGGCACTGGGCAGACCACCAGTTCATGTCCTACATGCAACCAAAACTGTGTAACAGCTTCAGCTCTCTGCCTGCCTGTCCTGAATTTGAACCCAGAGGTGAAAGACTTTTTGTATATTATTACTATATTGCTGATCCATCTCAATGCTGTGAATTTTTTTTTTAAATAAGCTGTGAGAGGTGGAGGGAGGGTACTCTGCAGGGTGTGTATCTTCACCCTTTCATTTTGTTAGCTCTTCCCTCCCAGTCCTGCCTTTCCCCCTGCCGCTTTCCCAGTTGTCTTCATTTAAATTGCTGATCCGTGTAGTTCTTTGTACCTTCAGCAGCTTCAGTGGCTGCTATTAGCAGAAGCAGCTTAATTGGCTTTATGCCCTGCTGTTTTCATTCATGGTTGTTAAAAGCATTATACCTTTGCCTTCTAGGCTGTAAGAGCCACAGATGTGTTCTGAGGTGTTTGCAGGTGGGATTTACCACCCTAACTGGGACCCCTAAAAATGCAAAGCAAGTGTAATGCAAGTATTCCAGTTGTCAGTGTTATCTACCCACGAGTAGGATCACTGGTTTCCCATTAAACTAACTGTCAGGATATCATTCTTCCCTTCAACTTATATTTTTTCCGTAAGTTTCCTACCTGACTTTTTGTCCAATATTACATTCTTTTATGGGAGGGCCAGGAAAAGTTGGTTGCATGTCCCAAGCTGTGAAGCACCACCAACAGCTTTGAAATTACTTCATGGGACAGGTTTCCTCTGTCCGTAACTTCTGCAATCAGAAGTTGATTTGAGTTCAGGTCTTGCATTGGTGGCCCAGCATAATGAATGAAGGCTGAGAGAGTTCCGATTCCATTCTTAGAAAAGGAAATTTTGATATATTAATTTGCTTCAGACAAAGGCATTTACAGTACAAAGAATTTAGAGAAAGTTTTTGTGTTAGTAGTTAGAAAACAAAACTGTGTTAGAAGTTGGGGAGGCAGAAATGAGATACAACTTCCAAACTGACAGAAAATATTCCATAACTGGAATTTCCAAGTGGGATGAAAATTAATCATTTTGACTTTGAGTGTGCTGGCAACCTTTGTGAAAAGAAATGGTTGTGTGGAATTTTATGTTTCAATTAATCATTAATTTTGTTAAGATGCTTCTTGAAACTTCTGTTCAGAGAAACTAAGGTAATGCAAAAAAAAACCCCCAAAAATTAATCTTTTGAGTGCAGTTAAATTTTCTCCCTCTGCAGAAATCTGTTTGATGTGTTCTTTACTTTGCTTGGGTCTGCATGAGGATTGTTATGCAGGTGTGTTTTTTAATCCAAGTCAATGCTGGCCTCCTACTGGCCCAGAGCAGAAGGACTTCCTGCAGTTGACAGCCTTCCTGTTCAGGGCTGCATCAGTGAAGTGCGAGACTGCAGGTGTGCGGCACTTCCAGCCCATGGAGAAGAGACCCAATGACCATGAAAATCATGCTTGAAGATTTTCTATTGTTTGGCGGGGTTTTTTAGAGGATTCTGTGTGTTACTGACTGATTTCACTTGTGTTATTTCCACTACAGAAGCTGTCTGGGCAAACAATAAACCCAAAGCTGCGTATGTTCGGCCAGTCCATATCAGGGGGAGTTGATATGGATAGCAATGGTTATCCAGGTACGTATGCTACTCTGGCAGCAGGAGCATGGGGAAAATAGACCTAGAAAATAGCAGAGCTAGGTTGTTTCCAGGTTGCTGGTCCCTGCCATTGCAGATGGTCAATGAAGCTGAGCTGCTTTTTACCTTTCTCTTCTGCTACTACAAGCTCCGGATAAAAATTCTAGGCGATTACTTAATTCAAGTATTTTGGTAGTTACAGCAATTGAAGATTCAGTATCTAACCAAGGTTTTGAATTTCTTGGAACTGCTCAGTCAGGATGGCAGTCTTAAAATAACCCAAAAAGTAGACAATAATATAGTAATGTTAATAAAAATCAAACAACGAAGCAGAGGTGAAGTAACATCACAGACCTAATCCTCCAGTTATAATACATATGACATAATGATATTTGAAGGGGCAAACTGGCTAAGTCAGAAGAACATGCTCTGTAGTCTGGCAACTAATTTGAAAGAACTGAATTGTATACCTCCTTTGTAACTGTCTCAATGTTAAAAAAATTTCAGATATGACTGTTGGAGCCTTCTTGTCAGACAATGTGGTACTTCTGAGGTGAGATGACTGTATTTTTCACTCCTCCTTTTTTATTGCTTTCTGTTTATATCTTATGTGGTCTTAAGCCCAACCAATTAACCACTTGAGTTTCCTCCCTAGTTTGTTGTGGCCAGAAGAAGCAAACTAGGTTACTGTTTAAACAAAACCTTAGATGTGAATGGTGTCAAAGAATGCACAGTCTAATTTAAACAGCAGAGTGAGGGGTGACAATACATAGGACACCCGGGGCTATGAAGAAAAAGGGTTGGAGCCAGAAGGAGATATGTTGCATCTCAGTGCCTCTTTAGAAAGGTTGCTCCCAACTTGTGAGAAGGCTTCTTCATTATTCTTATGTTTATATAAAGTAGATAAATTGTGATTTAAGGGAATGAAGTTGAGCAAAAAATGAGCTGTGTATGATGCCAGGATGTAATTTTGCAAGTTATAATGGGATGCAGAATGAAATAAGAGTCTTCAGGGAAATGAAATACAGATACATTTTCAATGCACACAGGAGTTGGACTGCTGTTTCAAGTTTATGAGTTAAGTGCAATTGCTTGTTCCATCTGATAGAAAGAGGTGGAACAGCTTGGTTCACCAAATTATGCAGGTTTTTTTGCTGGTAGGTCTGTTGTTACACTTGTTAATATTTAATAAAAGAAATCCTTTCAATACTTAGATGTCATTAGGAATAGAAATCACTACTAGGAACTCCGGCATCTTAATGGAAGATACAGGGATGTGGTGACACTGGTAAGACAAATGCTGGAACTGCAGAACAGATGTGCCAGCCTCCTTCCTGTTCAAGGCAGGAAAAACTTGGCTCTGTTTCCCTTGGAATCAGTTACACAAAAGAAAAAGAAAAAAAGGAAAGGAGGGGGAAGAAATACCCTTGATGATCAGCATGGCAGGTGGGCAAGTCTTCTGAAGAGTTTTCTGTTCCTTCATCATGCACATATAGGAAGCTAATTACTGCTTCGTGAAAAAGTGTGCCATGCCTCAGGTGGGAATTTGCAGCCCCATATCTCTGAAGGTGCTGAAAAGAAAACTGCGTTCTTCTCCTACATTGATGTTACTTGCAGAAGGGGGAAGACAAACTGAAAGGCATACTGTGATGTTTAAAACCACATGCATCACAACAGCATGATGACATCTGTCCATGTTTTCAGCCATACTTGTGCATTTCCGAGGAAATTAGTGTATTACTTTGACTTTGTGGGCAGCCTAATCAGGCTAATTGTTGCTACTGCCAGTTTCCAGTGTGTCCCTCTTGCTGTTAAGATTCAGATTAGGATAAAGAAATCAGCTTTTTCTTCTCCTTCTCCTCTTACCCCTCCCACTTTTGTGAAGTCCTTTAGCCAGAACCAACAAATGTTTTGCCAAGTGATATTTAAAGGCTTTGGTGGAAGCCTTTGGTGACTTGGGGCAGATCGTCAGCATTGTATTGCTCACATGTACGGTGCTTTGACAGATGCACTGTTTTTTTTTTCCCCAGTGAATAACCAAGTGAGATGACACTAAGGAAGAATCACACAGTGCATCATAGCTGGAGAAATATTTTTCTAGATCAACTATAACACTTACTCTTTTATGTCTCCCTAAGCATTCAGAAAGAGTGTTTCTTCAAAGGTGTGAAATGATTGCTCACTCTTTTTCCTCCTTCCCCCCCACCGCATATATTTCTAGGGGTAGCATTTATCTTCATCCTCCATCTCAAAATGTGAACTTGCACTGTTGTTTCAGGCTGTGGTAAAAGAGTCTGAGCAGCTGTTTTAGAGATTATGTGAATCTTGTTCCAGTTGGTATAAATTAGGTGTAACCACAGTCCCTGCTCTCTTCTCCTTCTTCTCCCCTACCTCTCAATTAAGTGGCTTGTGGAGTAGTTTACAAGCTCTGGCCTTGCATGGCTGTTGAGACTACCCTGGAACTGAATCTGCTGGTTGCTGCACATTTTTTTCACTATTATAGTTGGTTTTGGAAGAACATGTTCATGTTGATCATGTACAGAATTGAAACCAGGAAGAATAACACTGAATTTTTGGGCTGAAGTCCTGGGCTGGAGATGACTCAGGAGAGTCTGGTTTTCTGGGCTGCTGGATCTTCTGTGTTGTGTGAAAGAGGAAACTGTTGAGGAATACATTCAGTATAGGTATCTCAGGTGCAGCTGCAGTGTGAGCTGCAAATTGAGGTCTGGATGGTGGGAGCCTGAAGCAGGAGGCTGTGAACTGTTGACTTTTTGCGTAAGAAAAGCCATGGGGACCTGTGGCACAGCCAGGTGACCAGACACTGGGAGACACAGCAGGAGCCAAGGACTCAGGAGGAAGAGCAAGGAAGAGTGAAGACTTGCTTGGAGTGTGAGGGTAAAAAAGCTCAGGGGTCCTTTGTTCCGGATCCCTCCTCAGAGGCACCCCCTTGAGCTGTTTCTGTGTTACTTTGCTGTGAGTAAATGGCTTTATGGAACTATGGGAAACCTGGTCTGACTACATGAGAGTGGTGTGTTTAGGGAATCGAGTGGGGCACCTGTTAGCTCTCTGGAGCCACTAGAAAAGGGCTTTGGTCCCACCAGTTAGTCTCTGGTGGTGTGAATGTGACTGTGTGAGTGCCTCCTGAATGGTCAGACAGGAAAGTTTCCTTAACAAGACACACCTGGGCCTTAAGGGACTCAGCTTGCTCTGTGATTCTGGCTGAGATGTCCCTCAGCCAGGAGTAGTGGTAGCAATAACCTGGTGCTGGAGTTGCAAGGGTAGAAAGCTTTTGTTCACAGTGCACTGGGTAACTCCTGAAACACAGTTCAGCAGCGTGAAGAGTATTCAATCCTTGCCACTTGCCAGGAGGGAATTAACCAAATGTCTCTCCTCCAGAAAACACCAATGTAGTGTTTGTTGTCCCTCTTATACTATCGGAAAAATTATATATGAATCCGTCTCCTACCCCTGTGCTCCCTCCTTGACTTTGAGGTCACAAATTTGACTGTAGACCATTCTGTGGAAACCTCCGGTCTCTTCCTACCTGTCCCTGACCATCCAAGATGGTTAGCAACCAGTCTCATTTGCATGAACTTGTTGTTCTTGTTTACTGTTCCACTAATTTTGTTATCCTCCAGCAACTTTTGCTGGAGATGATGATGATTATTATTATTACACATTACTGGTTTCCCTAGCTGCCTGCCTGCAGTCTGTATCTGAGCACTGAACTTCAAGCTGTTATTACTGTTTTAATTTAAATGCTAGTAGTCCTTGCCAACTAGGTCAAGTGCTAGTTTATTTTACAGCTCAAAGATACTCTCTTATTTTTCCTGTCTGATTGAAATTGTTTAGTTTACCAAATTTACTTTCTTTTCCTTTGGCTTAGAACTTCTGTCTGGTCACTCAATTCTACTTCTCTGTTGATCTCCAGATCCAGGCCTGTCATTACCGTGGACATCTCCATTTTCCTGCCTGTATCTATCAATATCACAGCTCCTCAGTGCCATGATGGCTTGCAGCCAGTGAACTGCCTCAATGTCACAGCATGCTTTCGCTTCAGCGGCAAGCATGTTCCTGGAGAAATAGGTAAGGTACCTGTGCCAGCCCTGGGCAGTGACAGGTTGACCTGGAGTCAAGGGCTCTCTTTGTAGTCAGTAACAGACCTTTTATGGGAAATAAGTAGTTTCAATGTGAATGTGGAGTATACAATTCCAGAAAGTTGGAGGCTCGAGAACTTCATTGGGCACATTTTTACCTTCTGATGAGGCTGATGTAATACCGAGGCAGTTTCTTCCTCAGTGAAAGGAGGGAAGTGTGTCCTTAGGCTTGCTACAAGGATAGAGAACACAGCCTTCAAAGTTCATATTCCCTATTTACCTCTTGATAGATAATACATTTCTGAATCCGTATCCTCCATCAGCGTTATCAGAAAGCATATGAAAGATGATTTGCTCTAGATTAATAGTTTTTGCAAGTCTACAAGGAGCTCTTGAAACAGATATGAGAAAATCCTTTTTTGTGCATCAGTTTACCTGTCTGTAAAATGACTGTAAATAACCCAGTCTTTTACTGATAACAAGAATATCTTTCAGATTAGTTAATCTCTGTTAAACACATGGAGTTGCTGAGGTGAATGGAATTGTGTAACGTGTAATTGTACAAACCTTTATGTCTTTGCTCTATTAAAATTACATCCCAGTGTTTACAAGTCTTAGATATTTTGTGAGGTCGTATGGGACAGCATTTCTAAATATTTTAAGGCCTGAGTTAATTTAGTTCATGATGTTTTACCTTTGTCGTGCTTTAGGAATGGCAGAGGACTTGCACTGTGCTGTTCAGGGAAGATGTCTCAGCCTCACGGCATGCTCTGTCTTGATAGTGAGCTGGGGGAAGCAGTGCCTCCTCCTGCTCTATGCCCTGCCTTTTTGAGCAGGTAGTTGAGAAGGGTAAGTTGCATCTGTGCAACCCAGTATGCAGAGCCTGCTGCAGTATTTTGGTTTTAAGTAAGTCAGAGAAAGAAAAGGCTTCTTGCTACTTCTACCATTTACATGGGGTGAGAACTACAAGCAACTTGTAACTCTCACCTGAACAGCTCAAAACAGTGGAATTACCAAATTTAGGGTTCCTGTGTATTATAATATACTGATGCAACTGAGACTTGAATTTCTATTTTTGCACTTTTTCCTTCTCTTAGATGACACTAAGCAGATAAATACATGCTTTGATAAAATATTTTTTGTATTGCCTGATACTCTGTCAATTAAGAAAACACATTTCTGAGGGTTCTGAGGGATTGTTAATTCCTCTCTGAAAATCACAAGATAGATTTTCTGAATATCTAGCTGTTCTTGTGTTCTTGAAGTACTGTTTCAAATGTTTCCTTTGCTTCAATTTCATATCTCTGGACCTGTGGCTAAGAAGTGAACTTCCTTTTTTTCCAGTCTAAGTATCTGTTTCCCTCATTTACAAAAGATCTATCTTCCTGTTCATCTTGTAAGAGCTGGTTAAATTTCTCTGTGTTGTCTTACAAACTGTACTTCTGATGATTTATTGTGTTGAAAGCACATAAGCATCCTCTTTGGCGAGTAACATCCATCTCATTACAAGAAATTTTTTTACTATTAAGTAGATTATTATAAAACTTCCAACCATTGTCCTTTCATACAGTTCTTGTAACAAAGTGATTTGTCTTGAAAACATTGCAGCCAGAACTATCTGACTGTATAAAATCCCTTCAGGGTATGATTTGGATAAAATATCTCAAATGAGCTTTCAGTTAGTTATCTAACAGTCAGATCATTTTAATTATGTTGCAGTTGAAGAATATCAATTAACAAAGGGTGGAACAAATAATGGAAATATTGTAATGGTTCCTCTCCTGTGTGGTTAAATGTGGGGGAAAAAAACTCTAGAATATCCCTGTTAATGCATCGTTGTCCAGTTCAGACTCTGAAAGGCACGTGGAAGTGTTAAAATGCTATGCCAGAATTTTGGGGCTAAAAGTGTTGGGATTGGGATTATTTCATCTTTGGGTGTCTGGGGGCAGTCTGTAAAGTCAGATGGTGAGAATGCGGTGCTTGTCTGGAAAGTCACTCCCCTAGGGCTTGTCAACGTGGATACTCGAGATTGCTGCTTACTGGTGAAAAGCTCAGCATTTGTCTTGCTTTTGGGAAGCTGAAATTGGTCATCTGCTGCATAATGTTTAGAAAGTCAAGCTGAACATGCAGGCAGCATTCTTCTGTGGCAAATGTGTGCCTTCAATGCTGATTTGAATGTGTTGCTATTTTGTTAACTGTCGTATGAAGGAAAGTCATCTTCATCTAACACTACTTCACACTTGCATATAAACATTCCCCATCTTTCTTTTGCTTCTTCTTTTTCTAGTGGGAGTTGCAATACTACTGGTCATGAAACAACTGTCTGAGGTTCTGTGTTTATGGACACTGCTTGATACTGCCAATGACAGTACAATTTCCATGAAGTTGTTTCTTTCAGACTATGGTCTTCAGAAGTATGAATTTATTGCTGAAATGTTTTTGTCTGAACAAAGAGCCATGGCCAAGGGAAATGTGCTCTGCACTGTGTGCCACGCATTGCCTCAGTGCTTGCTGGAGAGCTGAGCATCTAGTTGTATGTCCACTGACAGAGACCACCTCCAGTATGTCTTGGAGGTATGAGAAATACAGTATTTTAAGTTTTCACTCTATCACCTCAGAATCTCACTCAGGCTGTTCCTCTTTCACTTAAAGGGCCATTGCTTTGTCTCCGGTGAGGTCTCTGTATTGCCAGGAAAGGCAGGGATTAGAGAAAGGCCTTTCCTAGTTTGAATGAGAAACTTTCAGCCTCTTCAAACCATGCACTTCTGGGTGACCAGGACAAGAAAAGAGACTGCTGCATCTCTGTGCATCAAGGGCTGCTTCTGCATTCGTCCCTGAAGGAAAATGGAAGTAAACTTGGCCCACAGTCTGGATAATTTCCTCTACAACAATAACAACAATAATAATACTACCATTATGAGAAACAGGTGAATTTTAATGGCTATGAAAATGAAGGGTTTTGGTCATTTGACTAGAGTTAGGCAGATATGTCAGAAATTGCTTCAAACTTTCTCCTGTACTTTTGATTTCAGATGTGTGTTGATCCATTGCTAGGGTAGTCCTCACGTCCCTAATACTGTTGCCTGAAAGACTGGTGCAAAATTTAATGTAGGATTGTTTGACAGTTACGCTCTATTTGAACATGTTTCTAGGACTGAAGTAACATGCCTAATCCAAAACTTTTCGGAAGTGGACTCTCCTCTTCTTACCTGTATGCAGCTGTAGTTTGGTGCAGGAGTTTTATTCTGTCTGCCTCTTATTTTTCCAGTCTAATCAGATGCAGGCGAGTCAGTGTTACCTTCAGAGTGCCTCAGAAACAGGAATGCTGCAGGAATGTGTTCAGTGTATGGAGCAGCGAGTATGGCTCCCTACTTAGAGCTAGGGACAACACTGTGAGAGAGGATTTGAAACAAGGTTTGAAGTAATGGGAAAAAAAATCATTTTGGAAGAGGATGGAGGGAATATCCTATATATATTCTCATTTTCTCGGGTATTTTTTTTGATACTTTTACTTAAGAATTTTCTTTGCAAGCTAAGTTCATGAATTATTTTCTCCTTGAAATTACTGGCAGAGGCAGCAAAGAAACTCATTCCTCTTCTGATGGCTTTTTGTTATTATTTAGTAATTTCTTCATTTTTTTCATATGCTGCCCTTCCCCTTGCTCCCCACAAATTGGTACTATAGCTAGTAGTTTAACAAGCACTTACAGATGTGCTTGTTCCTGCTGAGCATTTTACCTCCTGCTGTTTGTGTGGGTGAGGTTGTGTGGGTCCTGCTATCTGAGTGGGTGAGGATGGGATGTGCTGAGTGGCTTAGAGTGTCTAACCCCTCCATTAGTGCAATCAACTGTGATTTCCGTTTTAGCTTGGGGGATACCATGGCCTGATCTTAATCTCTTCTAACTCCTTACTGCTTCAGGGCTACCATCAACCATCAGGGATGACTCTTGCATCGTGAGTACATATATGCCATTTAGGATGAAAATCCACTGTAAAATGCCTACTGCCATTTACTTGGTGCATCTCATACTGGCTGGAGTAATTCACCTGGTCTGCTGGGTGGGGGTACTCTTGCAGGTATGACCAAAAATTTCTCAGAGGGAGCTGTTATCGAAGTTTTAGCCGTTTAACTTTAGTTATGGAAAAGGAATAGTCATTAGAAGAATTGAACCCTTCTGAGGTCATCAAACCCATGCCAGAGTTTTATTTTGATTGTATGAAGTTCGGTGGGTAGATCCCCAGAAAAAAAGTGAGAAAACTCGCTTAAAGTTGCTGGACAAATGTTTGAAGGCAGTACCTGGAAGAGTTAATTTGCTGCGAAAAACTTGCCTCCTGTTCTTCTACTGGAGTGAGCAGGAGGAACTTAAACCACCAACAGTGATAAGTTTGTCCAGTTATCTCCTCACTTGGGTTTGCTTTTTGGAAGCAACAAAGCTGGGGAGGGCAAAAAAAAGTATTCATGATATTTCAGTTTTTCCACTGATATGACTTCATTGAATACAACATAGAAACAAGTTGTGATAATAAAGGGGAGGCAGGGAACCGTACTGATTGGACAGTGCCTGATATCTTTAATCAGAGGCCTGGTGCAGGCCTCACACTGGGATCCCTTTCCGTGCCTGCAGTGAGGAATTGTTCAGTGTCGCTAGTATGTCACACTATCACTGGAGACTTTACAAGCCTCCCTAGGCACCCCTGCAAGCTCTGCAATCCTTTCTTCCTTTGACCCTCCTCCTTTGAAGAGGGCTGCATCTGTCCAGAGGGCTTTTTGCCTCTGCGTAGCAAAGCCTGGGTTTGCTAACATGTTTTCTTGCCTTTAATTTTGTGATATTGGTGCAGATCTTGGCATTGCTTGCATGTATATGCATATGAGATCTTGAAATAAAAAGGGAGACAGTTGGGGATGAGTGTGGGATGTGCACACCTCAAGAAAAGAAAAAAAGTTTAGGATTTTAAGCAAGCTAAACCCTGTCTTTCTGATAAGGTGATGCTTTTTAGTAGGACTGAGTAAACACTACTTTAGTGAGAGTTTTTGGTCATGAGCTTGTAAGTTTGAAATATTTTCAAGACATTATCTTTCTAAGCAAGGTATTCTACCAAAAGCAAACAAAAAAATGTTCAGGTGAAGCCCTGTGATGGTAGTTAGGCTGATTCCCCAGTTATGGGTTTTCATACCACTTAAGGTTTGTCTGGTTGCTATGCCCTAAGCTTTTAGTCAGAATGCAAATGAAGTGAAGCTAATTTGAATTGTGTGAGTTTATAAGTGTTCACAGAGACTTTGGTGCCAAGAAGGCTAAAAGTGAGAAAGTTCGTGGGTTGAGATGAAGACAAGGTAATCATCTTCAACAGTCTTTAACAGTCTACAACTTCCTCATGAGGGGAGGAAGAGGAACAGGCTCTGATCTCTTCTCAGTGGTGACCAGTGACAGGACCCGAGAGACTGACATGCAGTTGTGTCAGGAGAGATTTAGGTTGGATATTAGAAAAAGGTTCTTCACCCAGAGGGTGATTGGGCACTGGAACAGGCTACTTAGGGAAATGGTCACAGCACCAAGCCTGACAGAGTTCAAGAAGCATTTGGACAATGCTCTCAGGCACATGGTGTGACTCTTGGGGGTGGTCCTGTGCAAGGCTAAGAGCTGGTTCCTTGTGGTTCCCTTTCAGCTCTGCATAGTGATTCTGCAATAGGTTGAGCAAAAGCCGGTGCCCACAAACAAAGGAAAAAAGGGAATTCATTGACCACTTCCCGTGAGCAGTCAAGGGTACAGCAATCTCCAGAAAAGCATAATGGTTACTTAGGAAGACAAACATGGTCACTCCAAACGTCCTCACCTTTGTCCTTCTTTCCCCTATTCTATATATTGAACATGATGTCATACGGTATGGAATATCCCTTTGGTATGTCCGAGCTGTGGCCCCTCCCAACTTCTTGTGATCCCCTAAGGTGAAGCAATGTAAGAAGCAGAAAAGGCCTTGACACTCTGCAAAGCACTGTTCAGCAGTAACTAAAACATCCGTGTGTTATCAACACTGTTTTCAGCACAGATCTAAAGCATAGCCCCTTACTAGCTACGATGAAGAAAATTAACTCTATCTCAGCCAAAATCAGCATAGTACTTCAAGTAGCAAATAAGTTTTCGTCTGGACACAGACACATCCAGTGACATAGCAACCAATTGTGTTGGAAACAAGATTTACAAAGAGACAGCTCGTAAATCTTGGGATATGTCTTCTATAAACTACCAGGGATGTGTAACATCTAAGAGGGCACTGCTGAATGCAAGGCATTGACCTCTAGTTAAGGTATAAATGCTGTGACTGCAAATCAAAGAAAACAATTGTCAGGAAATGCCACATCATGGTTTATATTTGCATAGTTTCTGTTGTTTTAGAAGAAAAACAAACTTGAAGCTGCTGCTGTTGTTTGTGTGGTTTTGCTTTTTCTGTTAGCAACATAGTTTAAGCATCTTCTGGGTTTTTTTGTTTTTTGTTTTGGTTTGGGTGTTTTGTTTTGTTTTTTTTTTATGTTAAATGTGCATATCTAGATGGACTCTTACCATTTCCTGCAGGAAGGATGGGCTGGGAATAATAGCAACACAAAATGTGGGAGTACATTAGTAGTTGGATTTGGTTTTATGTAGCCATGGGAAACTTAGTGATTGATTGAGGGCTTGCAAGGGTTGACCTTTCTTCAAGCACACTAGGAAGCAACAGGGTCTATTGATAGGTGGCTAGAAAATAACTATTGTTCACTGACATCCTTTGTTTTCTTCTTCTTCCTTTTTAAAACAGGTTTGAATTATAACTTGACTGCTGATGTGGCAAAGAAGGAAAAGAGCCATCAACCCAGAGTTTACTTTGTGACTTCTGGAGAGACAGCAGGGCAGATCACAGAGAAGTTACAACTGTCATATATGCAGGAAAAGTGCGAGCATTACCTAGCATATGTCAAGGTCAGTTCATTCCTGTCCTTGTGTTGGCCTGACTACAATTACACTATTTTAAAAAAATTATTTAACCAATTAAAGTGGTGCTGCTTGGCCTCAGATGTTTTGTTTCCTGACAGGTGGATGAAACTTTTTGGGTGGAAGCTCAGAACTTCTTGCTTGGCATCATTTGTCAGTCTGAGTAGTATCAGACCTTCAAGACCTCGTTAAAAAACATAAATGTATTTTATTTATGTTTGATCAGGCAGAAGGGGTTTCTTTCTTCTTTTGCCTTGCTTTGTTGTTACATGTGTCATACCCAAGGAGGTAATGTCTTGTTTTGGTAGGAGCAGCAGGTTTAGTGTTTAGTTTTGTGTAAGGTCTGACTGCACAAGAGGTTGCTGACACACTCTGCATAGGAACAGCAGAATAACATGGGGTGTGCAATGAAGTAATTGGGCTCTTGGATTTGTAGAGCCCTGTGAATTTCATCTGGGCTTGAAAGCAGCAGTGGGATAACTTAATTTCACCTGTGTCATGGTCCTAGGGATACAGAAGGTGCTTTCTAGACCTGCTGAGACAAAGAAAGGTTCTGTTTTTCCTGTGACAAACTCTTCATCTAGGGTTTGCTAGAACTGTAGTTATCTTCACTGGGCAGCTGTTATTAAAGAAATGTCACCCGGGGCCATTTTGTTTTCAAAGTAAGCACAACAGTTTTCTTCCACGCTAAAAACCTATAGAATGGACTTTAAAATTATGTAGGAAAGACATTTATCTTTAAAACAACGTATGTCTTACAAATACTAATCTGTATCACCATTCCTTCCATACCCTCCTTACTGAAGATGAGTGTGACTTAAATCAGATGGATATCACTTGACACTGTCTTGTTTTGAGAATACAGCATGCCCAGATTTCCTAAATGTATAAAGTTTTCCAGGAAGCCTCTTTGTACCTAAAAACTGTGAGAATGGGAGATAAAATTAATCCTTCGACTTTATCAACATTTTGTGCATGGCTGTTGAGAGAAAATAAAATAAATAAAGGGACCAAGGAGGAAATACTGTCCTGTTGTGTAGATCTCAGGGAAGAGATTAGGTGTCTTCCATGGCTTTTTGTTTCTGAATAACCTTTGCTTTCTGGTGTGGAAAAGCTTGTTGAAAATGTAGACCTAAGAGATGACCATTACTTAGAAAGTATGTCTCTGAGTTTACTGATTCTGGTCTTTCTCCAATGAGCACATCTGGTTAGACTTCAGTGTATTGAGTTCGTATGAAAAGGAGCCATATGCCTTCCTATCTTAATCCGATAACCCAATAATGACTTCTTTCACTCTAACTCTTCTTGTAGTTTTTGGATACTACACAGAATTCATTAGAAAGCTACATATGCCCAAGAAACTCTTTAAATAATTGTAACATTTTTAACTGATTATGGGAATCCAAAGGTAAAAACTAATTTTCTGGAAAATTCCTGGGAAATTGGATTTTTATAGGAAAGAGAAACATTTAAACGTGTTTAAAAATACTGACAACTTAAAGCAAAACAGCTGTTTAACAAACAAAGCTACTGACTTTCCATGTGATACAAGCAGCTATTTTTCACTGTTGGAAGAATAGCAGGAAATGTTTTTTTCTTGTGAGAGAGAATGCAAAGTAATGAAGAAAGATAATCCCTGTACTTTCATTGGAAAGGTGATATGATCCACAAGACTACATGACATCAGAAGCATCAAAGAGAGCCCTACACACTCTACAGGAGTGGAAATGGTGTCATGATCTTTCACTTCTATCCTTAAGTAGCAGCTAGTAAAACAAAACCCCTGAAAAACAAAATAAAAAAAAACCCTTCACAAACTCCAACCGACATTCTCCTTGATTGCATAGATTTGTGATGGAATGGGTGATAAAAGATGTGGGCTTAAAATATACAAAGTATTTCACTTTGACTTTCCTTTTTCCTTTTATTTACTGTATGCCTGATGAATTCCCTTCCATGGTAAATTGAGTTGTTTGCAGTTGCATCCTTGATCTGTTCTCCTTATTATTGTTTATTTGTGTCACTGCTCACAAATGAGTTTATGTGGTATAAGGATGTCGGTTCTGCACTGCCTGCAATCAAGGATAGATCATGGACTTGTGTGTGACCTCATGTGCTAACTTTACATGTGCTACCTACTAGGTACACAGGGTGTCCAGTCCAAATGGAACCTAGCAGAGCTCTGTGCGTTATGTTAGATAAATGCAAGCCTGTGCCAGGCCTTGTTTGATGACATTGTCTCACCAACGTCTTCCAGTATGGTGGACGGACTCTCAGAAGGACTGAGAAAAGTCATTGAAAAAAATAGTCTTCTGCAAGCTTTCTGTGATTTTTGATAGATTTGATCTTGAGAGACCTCAGTGAAACTGAACACTAAAAACGTTGCAGTCTTCAAATAAGCTGACAGGAATACTAATTTGATTGTTTTGCAATTGATAAGTGTTGATGTTTTGAGCATGAGTCATTTCCTATTTGTGATTCCCTTTCAGGACAGGAGTTACTGTTCTTATCGCTGCTACTGCATTTGACTTTTAAAGTCTGTATTTCCTCATATCTATGTGACTAAGTGGACCTCAGAAGATTTGTAGGATACACGTAGCTCAGAGCTTGATCTTGTACAAGGCAGGCTACCAAATTAGAACTCAAGTTGCTAGAATTATGGTAGTTCACAAGGAAACATGTTTTTCTTTTGAGACTTCAAAATATGTTGCATTTGGTTTTGTAGTGGGTATAGAGATGTAAAAAAGTTACGTAGTTTTATGATTCTTTTGCACTTTTTTGTTTTGCTTGCCTACCAACACTGGAACCTGTTTGATGATTTCTAGCTAAGAAACTTTAATTCTTTAGTATACATAGATAGTTGTACCATTACTCACAGACACTCAGGTGTCATTTTCAAAAGCTGCATTTTTTTAATACATTCAGTAGAAAATGGCTGCTAGTTGAGAAGTTCAGAAGAGTCACTGGCTTTCTTGTGTCAGTGCATAGCTGATCCCTGCTGTCGCTCAGGAGGTGCTTCACTGCTTGACTGTTCCTCTTCCAGCTGTCCGGGGACGATGATGCTGACACTATCCTCCTTCGATGATGATGAAACTACTAAAAGGTTTCTGTCAGTTTTGCTGGAGTAAAAGGAAGCAAAGTTAAATCTGATTACCTTTTTTTTTTTTTTTTGGTAAAGGTATTTGGTTTTTTGGTATAAGGAATGGCAAACAAAAACGTGAGAAAATGGAACATGGTATAAGAGGAAAAGAAGCAGAAGTTGCAGAAGGACATAGAATCAGAGACGATTAAGAAAACAAATGGATTTTGAGTCTTTACATGTGTCTCCTTAATGTCTGGGCATGCAACTGAAATGCAGAATTTTCTCTTGGGAAACGCACTTGTTTGATGGTGTTCAGAAGACCTGTGCTGTGTGCTTAAGAGGTTCTGTGATCAAGGCAGTAACTCTGAGGAAACATTGTTTCCCTTTTCCAGTAACTGCCCCGGTTGTTTTCTGCTTAGTGGACTCCCCTAATATTTAGGATAGATTTATCTGTGGGTAGGACAAGAGAATTTGGTACAGATGGCAAAGCACATTGTGCTGGCAGATTTATGCAGGGTCAAAACATCTTCCTTGTTTTATCACAAAGGGATAATGGTGATGATGGTGAAAGCCTCTTGTAGAATTGCTGCATTTAATAAAGAAGCATTGTCTGGTTTCTTACCCCGCTGTAGGCCAGCTAGCTGGGCTGCCTGTTGCTACCGCACACTGCTGTCTGTGTGCAGAGTGAATGTTGTAATAGCTGCAAACACCATCAGCAGTCCTGGCTCATGATTAAACCAGACCATTTGTATTATCCAGAGATCTTTATCTTGGTGACTCTGTGGTTATTTTAAGCGGTTTTATGTACTCATTGTATTAACTCTTAATGGATCCAGCTCATGGGAACAATGGGGCTGAGAAGTAACAGAGGAGTGGCTTTTCCTAAAGGATGTAGGTGAGTAGCACGTGCTGCTTTTGTGCAGGCAGATTTGGAATAAAGCACTACCTTTTCAACTGAAATTGCACAGCTGTACTTTGTTCATTGTTGAGTTCTGTAGCCAATTTGTGTTTTTATAAGCACATTTCTGGTCTTTGCCATGCATCACTGAAGATACTCTGGGTTGCTGATCTCACACAAACTTCATCTCTCGTGCTCGCCAATTTTAGTCACTGTCTGTGGTCACGTTTGTTTCTCCCTCTGTAGCTGTTTGATCTCATCTGAGAGAGGTACATGTATTAAAAGCTTTTATTTGTAATTCATAGTAATCTGGCTTTTTTCTAGAGTCTGGGTAGCAAAGGATTTGGCCTCAGTCATGTCTCATGTAGAGATGGTATCACCTTGATCATTTTTTCAAGATACACTTCCTTCTGAGAGTTGTCTGCTTGAGTATTAACACCTCTATGTGTAAGTTTGGCTGGTGGTGTTACAGGTAACACTTGAAGCAGAGACTGCTTTCCCAGCAGCAACAAGCCATGAAAACTTGGTCTTGATTATCTAGGATTTCACAGGGTTTGGACCACTCGGCAGAGAAAGGGAATGCTGACCTGTTCTCACCTGCAGCAGGAAGTTTGTCATCAGTGCAACGCAAAAGCTGCTGTGTAGTTTTATCAGAAATGATGACTGCAGTGTGATTCAGTGCCAAGAGCAGAGGTGATATCTTTGGGCTTTTTTGTTTTTTCTTGTTTTGCAGGACTTTTTTCTACCCTTTCGTAGAGCCAGCTGGAGAAACTGTCAGCCCCAGCCAGATGCAGTCATAGCATGTGTGCTGTCTTAAAGGATTGTGGGATAGGTGGGGTAATCATGAAGCACAGGAAGGGGTTTATTTACAAGACACATTCTTTCCAGAACAGTTCTGTTTTCCAAAACTGCACAAAGTCTACTTGTAATCTGTTAGCACGGGCAGCCTACCCTTCAGCAGAGAAAAATAAACGTGTTTTAATACATAAATACAAATAAAATTAAATA